AGTCAAAATAGACCTACAATTCACCCAACGTTACACCTCCTCACCAAGACGTCTGGAAAACCCCGAGATATATACCTTATTGGCTCCGTAAGTCGAGGATTGAGATTAATTTGAGCGAAAAAAAGGCTTGACCTGAATACAGTTAGTGAGTTAGGCCTAGGCCTAATGTTGCACTGAGTCCCAAGAAGAAGAGGGGGGGAGTGTTTGTAGAAAGGGAAAGCCTTTGAAAAATTGTTTTAATTTTGTAGTTTGTTTGACAGGAGAACGGGATGGGAGGAGAGCGACTGGATTCCCAGACCTTCACTCAGCCCTCGCTAGATGTCTCTCGGGAGGAATACGGATCTCGTCCGCACTCGTGCGAGTGGACAAGAAGGAGCTTCGTCTTCATCTCGAGTCTCTCCCGGTTCGATGCCTTGGATCGCATGTACAGGTGAGGTCACAAAAAATTGAATATTTGAGTCCAGTTCCCACTTCCCAGCGGTATACAAGCGGCTATCAAGCGGTACAGCCGCTTGTATACCGATACGTCAAAAAGCCGATACATCAAAAACCGATTCGTGACTTTGCTCTGAAGACATCGATTTTTATAACGGTCTCATCGTGAGAACGTGAGAGCGTGACAGCCGAGGAATCGAAGATTCAGGGCCGAAAATTTCTCGGCACCGGCCGACAAGAGACTCGGAACGGCCATCAAACCTGATCGCAGGGACCGTTAGCGACACCAGCCGGCGTCGGCCGTGTCGTCGCGTCGAAGAATGGGAAATCCGTCGTTTCTCTTCATCAAAACTCATCTTGCGGACGCCGAGGTGGAACTGACGACGTAATCGCCGCAGAAAGGGGCTAGACAATTTCTCCCTTTTTAACTGGACACGCTGGCCTTATTTCCTCGGCGATTTGCCGTCTCATCGTAATCTCGCGGTAGTTGCCGCTTTTATATCTTAATTGCATCTCGTTGCGTTTGCATGGATTTCTCACGATAAGCCTTCTTGGGGCCGATGCGACGAAAGAACTCTCGCCAGAATCCATTCCTTCCTCTTCCTTCCTCGTCCTTCCTCGCCCTTCCTCGCCCTTCCTCAACCAGTTGGTCATCACCGGATTTGGCATCATATCGAACGAACCGCAGCCGTGGTTACGGCACGAGAATCCAAGGTCAAATTGAAGAATTTATATATCTATAATAAATAAATAAATAAATAAATAAAATATATAGCCACCCTCTGATATTCCTCCCATTTCCTATGCCCTCTCCATTGGCGTGAGTCACTTCTCACGGTTGAGATATCCGTTTCGCGAGGACGTGAGCGGTCCTGAACAAATATTTAATCGTGTACATTTTAGATAAGGTTGCGGCAGGTTTAATGTTTGGCTTGAAATGGAAGAGAATTCATATGAAAATGCGCGTTTGTATAAATAATGGTGCAGTCCTCGTGACCCTCTTCTATCGTATCGAAAGGGCTGAGTGTACTGTGTATTGTGTACTGAAAAGTACTCCGCTGAAAAGTTCTCCATCAATGGAACAGTCTGTGCTCGCGATGCGCCCTAGTAGGGGAGGGGGGAGGGAGAGGGGGCGAGGGGGCGAGGGGGGGGAGGACACCAACCAAGGACCATTTTTCTTTCAGATTTGTTCTCTAGAATGTAGTTTTGAGACCCACCGCAAAATAAAGTTAATAACGGCTGATCGGAATGAAAGGAAGAGAAAACCTGAGATTGGCGACGCCACCATTACAAAAATCCCAATGATCGGGTATGAATCTGTGAAAAATGTGAATCGGCTGTGAGTCACGTGTGCTTCACAGAGGTTTCACATGTGAGATGGATGTCATCCAGGTGAGGGAGAATGGATCATATTTGAAGGGGGTAGGAAGTAGATGTGAAAAGTGTGAGGCACCTCGTGAGCGCCCTCTAGCACCTCGTGAGTGCCCTCAAGCACCTCCTCCAAATCGGACACGCGATCCAGGCTGTTAAATGCCCTAAATAAAAATGTCCTACCCTCATAGTGATGGCATTCGAAGCGTCACCGAAGCACGATAGGAAGCATGACAGGAAGCGTCGCCCAAAAACCAGAGAAAAAAATCCTCGCGCCTTTCAAATTTCGAAGAAAAGGTGAGTCATTCTTCCGAGTCCAATACGGACAGTATCAACACGAAAAATAAATATGTGAATAATGTAAACACTATTTACTTACATAAACAATAGACCTACTTCTCGGAAAACTCCTCGAGGAAAACAAACCCCGACCGTGAAACGGTACAATTGCAATCAAGTTTATTCGTTCGAACAGCCTGCCCCCCCGACACAAAGAGCCACGAGAGAGAGAGAGAGGGACTGCATAATAATATATGATACACGATAACAAAAAACAGCGGATGAGGGGGGGGACGACCCCCCAGGATGAAAAACAACTTCTATTGTCGATGTGATCAGTCGTACGGGGGAAAAGGGAGGACTTGGCCATTGTCCGGTTGTGTGCACTTCCAAGTTTGCAAAAAAAAAAATTTTTGCACGAGAACGATTCAACTGGCGGAAAATCGGCGATGAATCAGCCCGGCTCGCAGCTGCGAGGAGTCCTCGAATTTCTTTGTCGAGAAACGGGATAATTGATGAGTTTTCCCTGAAAAAGCATCATTAAAACGGATCGCGACGGGCCCTCGAAAGTCTTAATCCGGCGTGACGTCATTCATAATGTCCTTGGGGTTGTTTTCGACGCGCTTTTTCCGCATGTGTGGGTCCTCGCCGGGTTTTCTCCCGAGGAGATGAATAAAATTTTCCCTTCATAATAGTAATAATATGTAGCATGTGCATCGTTCCCAGGGAGATATCGACCGAATGTGGTGCTCGGAGATACAGCGTGTGATTTGTGCGGCGGTTCCGAGCCGGCTGCTCCTCTCGACCGGCTGCTCCTCTCGAGTGGCTGCTCCTTCCCGGCTGGGTCCGAGTGATAGGGCATTTATCGCTGACTCCGAGGAGGCCCCCACGTCGGAATTTATTTTCATCGTTTCGTGACTAGGGGCTTTCGCGAACGTAATCGACTGCGGATGGAGACGGTAACCGTCGATCGCAACCGCCAATTTCGGCCGCCAAATTTTCTTGGACTTCTATTCAATGGGCTTTGCAGTCGTGAAACCCGTCATCAGGCTCCGTAATCTGTAATCAGACCTGTAATGAGAAGCCACTCGGGAACCCTCGAATGATTCCGTCATTTGCAGTCGTTTGGCCGTGCCTTTCGGGTTCGTTTCGTCGAGGGCGAAACAGCGCCAACTCCTGCGGGAAATAAAAGCCCGCGGAATCGCCGAGAATCGAGAATCGCACCGAGAAATGCCTCGTTCCGCAAAATTCCGTCCCCCTGCAGCCGTCATTTCGCCCAGCAATTCCCCGAGATGGATGAGCAGAGCTAGAATCAGGGCGTCGCGGAGGAACCCGGCAAGAGATCGAGTGAAAAATGCATCTTGAAAATGTATCCGAAAGTGCGGACGAAAGAAGGAAGAAGAAGAGAGGAGGGTCATCCGAGCGAAGGCAGAGAGGGAAATGGCCGGGAAAGATGATGGATGGATCCTCCCTTCCCCCCCCTGCCCCCTTTTCCCCCTGCCTCCCTCCTCCCTCCCCCTTGCCCCCTCCATCCCCTTTCGGTCTTCCATTTCGTGCTCGCCGAGATTCGCGTTCCGACGGGGAATCGCTCCGCGTCGAAGGAGAAGCGAAGAATCCGAATCCTCGCCTCTTCTCGACCGGATCCTTCGGAGTCTGGACGGCAGAAATCGCTCAAAATCGGAATCGGAAAGCCTAATTCGCACGGTTCACTCGAACGTCGTCGCGAAACGGCATTGGACGCAGCTGTTGCGGCGTCCTTCCTATTCACTCACCTTTTTCTTTTTTTTTTTCTTTTCGTACAAGGACGGGGGTCCATTGCTGGGATTCCTTACAAAGCGGCCACAAGGTCTCTCGAAATGCGCCTTTTCTCTCCAGGGCCTTCACGACCGCTTCAGCAACGGACCTTTTCATCCGGTTGAGTTTCCCCCTACGGAAACTGGAATTGCGAGATTCCTCCTTTCGAGATTTTCAAAGAAAATCGAAACGAGATCCAGAAGCTAATGGAAAAATCCAAAAATCTCGCTGGAAAGGTCTCGGTGCCGGTGTCCAGTAACGCGAAGTCGCGGGAGCGCGGAAAAAGCGATCGATGCACTGCGCGAAACGGGGATTCCGACATTTCGCGGAATTCCGCGAAGTTGCAAGAAGGGAGACAACGCTTTTTCACGTTCGTTCCGCAGAGACTTTTGAAATTCCCACTTGAACCATCCAGCGGCAAGTAAAGGGGGCTGGATAAGAACTCGATTGCAATCGTGAGGAACGGTTCGCCGCGCCTGGAGAAGGTTCGCCGCGCCTGGAGAAGGTTCGCCGCGCCTGGAGAAGGTTCGCCGCGCCTGTTTCCGGGAAAGGAGCCGTCAACTGATGGTTCACTCCATCCACTGTCGATTTCCCAAATTCAAAAGTGTTTAATGAAGGATGAAGTCGTTATCGGAAATGCTTTCGCGATGAAAGCAGTAGCATTCCCGCAAACGCGACGAAAAACCCCGATTCCGAATTCGGGTTGCCATCAGTCATCGTTTCGATATCCGTTCGAAAAGGAAAGAAAGGACTTCGGTGTTCGCCGGGAGATGGCGGCACCTCGAAAGCCGAGTCTGTCCGGCCCCGAGGTCGATCGTCGACCGTCTTGCACATCGATCGCCTTCTGACGTCAGATTCGGGAAAGATTGAAAAGCGACAAGAGCGAGAGTGACGGTCTCAGCGAACGACGAACGGCGATCGGTAGGCGGTGGGCGGTGGGCGGAGGAGGGCGGGCGGTGGGGGCGGGCAGTGGGGGGCGGGCGGTGGGCAGTGGGCTCCTGGGGGGGGGGGGGGGGGGGGGGGGGGGGGGGGGGGGGCAAGTGGGCTCCTGTTCCTAATCGAGTCGAATGAAAAAAAAAAACTGTGAGGATGCGATGACACACCGAGCCACGAAGCCGCGTTCACACCGGGATGCACTCATCGGCCTGGACACGAAACGACCTTTGACCTCGCGCAGGAACCCGCCCGGAACCCGCCTGGAACCCGCCTGGAACCCCTCGGACGGGACGGATCGGAGGGTGGCTGCGACCGGGACTGAGCCGAGAATGGGGCTCCCCCTTTATATAGAAGCAGTGGATTTCCTGGCCCAGTAAACTGAAAACGTGCATCATGGCTCGCCCGAATGCAAAATTACACGTTCAAATAACCTAGCCGTGAATGGGGGCGGCTCCTCCGAGCATCGCAGAGTCATTTGACAGTGAACTCAACCGCGTGATGAAGAGATCTTCCCTTTTCGCGGATCGATCATTCGCGTTCAGTCAACCGTCCGGCTCCCTTTTATTTCCCTCTTCTTCTTTTTTCTTTTTCTCTCCACGGTTTTCTCGCAATATCGGGGCGGGGGTGGCGCGGGTGTGATGGGTATTTGACGCGGGGGGTAAATATTTGCGGATCCATCCGCGTTTCCGGATCCCGTCGGTCTTCGGGGGGCGACGAAAGGACAACGGGTCCGGCGATATGTCGGCGATCGGGGACGATATTGGGATTTGTCGCTTTCGCTTCAGTGCGCTCTTTCGGCAGATTCCATGGATTTCTCGTCTTCGAAACAGATAGAACAAAAAAGATATTAGAATGAGTTAAAACAAAAAATAAGTACGTGAGAATTCTTTTAGCAAATAATTTCAGCGTTGTGTCAGAAATTTGTGTCTTCGCTTTTCAGACGGCTGAATTCATAAAGAGCCAAACATTTTCTCCTTCCGCCTCTCGTATCTCATGCGACACAGACGACCCCCGAGCCTCGAACTTCTCACGCCTCTATCACGCCACGCGAAAGATCAAACGCCGTTTGTTTGCTTCCGCCGCCGGCTTTCCGCATTCCGTGCGAGCGGACGCCCTTCCTGGCTCTCGGCTCCGTATCGCTTCGTTCTTGGAACGCTTCACCGTCTCGTCTCGAGTGCTTTGCACTCTGACGCTTCGAGGAGCAGCGTCGCAGTTGCCGTTCGGCGTGATCCTCCTCGTGGGGGGATGACGCGGGATGCTTCCGGCGCGAGTGACATCTGGTGGGGTGGGGGCGAGGCTGCGGTCCGATCTCGTGCGTGGCAGTTCGTGCGAGAGCGCGGTGGCGTGTGCTGCGTCGGTAGGCGCGGTGAAAGGGAATTGACGAGGGGGATCGGGTTCGTAATGTGCGACATCGTGTTGATTGATCAAGGAGGGGGAGAAAAGAGACCGGAGGGTCCTTCATTAGCATGGGCAAGACGAAATTTCCGCCTTTTAATGACATGGCCCGATATTCGACCAGTGGAGCGGAATCCTCCCTTGCGTTCGTGGAGGGAATTTTCATTTATATGTAAATCTTCTCGTGGAATCCTCGCGGAATAACATCCGGGGCAGGAAGGGCGAAAAGAGCGGGGAAAAAAAATGTCCACGAGGACGACGACGACGTTTCCACGTCATTAACTCCTGGGATCACAATGCTTGTGTGACGCAAGGGTTTATGGAAGAAAAAAAGGGAAAAAAGGGGGGTGGGGAATCAGATGCGTGGAAGATGTGAGACGGATCTCATTACTTTCTCCTCGGCGGAGGAGAAAAGGATCTTCCCCTTTCGAGTGCAGCGTGTCGCGAAATCCGACCGAGATTTGAAAAAAAAAGGGGAGGGGCGGGGCCGGAGGAGGGATTGAGAAGGGGGCGGAGCCAAGGGAAGACTTGCAGCTCCGAGGAAAACTTGCATGGGCTCTTCTTTCAAAACATTTCCTCTTTATTTGAGCTCCACAACAGCAGGTTGAATAAAATTAAGAACAGCTCAAAAATAATAGATATCATTGTCAATAATAATAATAATAATGACAATACCAAAAACAAACGCGAGAAGAAAACAAGAACTATCACAAAATTCACATAAAGGAGTGGTTTGTCTTGTAGATCCAGAGAGAAAACTCAGGAAAAATGGTATTATGAGGATACATGCAGACGAGTTCTTCGTCTGTTGGGACTATAATCGGATATAATAAAAAGATGTGAGCAAGTCTGCAAAAATCTTGGCACATATTGCTCTATGTATTCAGAAGACAATTTGATGCGAAATATTCAATGAAAAATTTTTTGATTCTTGGAAAGAATAACGAAAAGTTGCTCTTCGAGAGACTTGGAAGAAAAAGAAGACGCCAGGAAAACAGAAGAGGCGTCTTTCACCAAAACATCCGCCCGGAAGTAGACTCGTGCAAATTCGTTCCAATTGCAGCGAAGAGATACTCTGTCATGGCCTTCCATTGCACAAACACACGGGAGGGGGAAAAAAAAATCGTTAAAACACAACGGGGAAGCCTAGAATTTTTGAACGTGGAGGAAACATCTGCAAGCCAACAACGCTCTGAAAACACAAGATATCACAAGCAGCAGAGAACAAGGAATGTGTGTTTCGGGTATTGCAATCGCATCATCCACGCCCCCTCGAGCACCAACGCCCAGCGAGACCTCAACCTCTCTCTTTCTCTCTCTCACTCTTTCTCTCTCGCCCGAGACGCCAAGTGGAAACATCCACGATTCCGGAAAGGTATGAAAGGGGAGGATGCATCAAAAGTCCTCTTGAGTAGCAAGTGGAGCGCGTGTAAACGCGGGGTCGAAGATTCCGGGGGAGCTTGCCGATTTCCTCGGCGTGGAATGCTCGGATCTGCTCGTCGACGACGGAACCCCGAGATTGCCAAGGTTGCCGGGGTTGCCCTGTACCTTCTTCCGCTCCAGGCTCCGCGCCCGGCCGCTCGTCGTCTGACTGGGAAGGTCCGAGTGAGATCGGTTGTGGTTGTGGCTATGGTTATTGTTATGATTGTGATTTTGGTTGGTGGAGAGGACTGCCAAGTGGTTAGCAGACCGGGACCGAGTGTGCTGAGGCAGATGACCACCTTTGCCCTTGTCCCTTGGGTCCTTGAGGTCCCGCAAGGCTAGTTGATAAGCTACCTCGAACGCCTCTCCGAGCGTCAAGATGATCTCTGTCGCCTGGTCCTGAAGCAACAATGGAACAGAAACAAATCGTGACTAACAACTTACCAGGATCCATCACACCTGATTCAAATGAAATCATGAAGCATGACGTCATGAAACCCGTCAGTGCTTCATGAAGGTTGATCAAAGTTATTTTTTGTTAATTTTGGCATTAGGGAAGAAAAAGGCACATGCCATGGTGGACGCAGCGAAGACATGGCAGTAGTGATGCTCCGACGGCTCATCCCTGGTGATGTAAGCGAAGTGACGAAGGTCGTCCGCGTCCTGACAGGCGCAGTGGATGTTGCGTATGTCGTGCTCGCACACCATGTCCTGCCAGACACAAGGAGACACTCGAGCATCTCACACGATACCGACGGCACCTTCAGCCGGACGAGGGGACTGACCTTGGTATGAGCATCGATGAACTTGACGCCCGTGTACGAGATGGCCAGGATGATGTTAGGCATCTTCACGATGTCGCGGGTGGACTTCTTCAACTTCTGGATGGATTGCCGGCTGGACTCCGTGCCCTGCAGGTCCTTGACTAGCGTCGAGCCCAGGTACTGCAAAAAGAAACAAGGGGAATCCCTTCGGTCACGACCGCATTGTTCTCACTAGGGATGAGGCGCAAAAGAGGATCACTCTATTCTCTTCTCTATTCCATTCACTCTATTCTTTCCTTTAGAGGAGGGAGATTGTGAACGTGGATTACTGGGGCAAGAATTGTTACGCCTTCGATGGTATTCAACGGGCTTCCAGTATAAAAAGGCATACCTGAGCGAGGTAATCACAGGTGCCCGAGATGAGGTTGTCGGGGGAATGCCTCCATCGGGTGACGAGGGCCGAGGGCATACCCATCACCAACTCCGACGGGTCCCGGATCTTCAACTCCCCCTCTTCCCCTGTGGGTGGAGGCGCTGTCGGTGGAGGCGGCGGTGGTGCTCGGGCTCGCCCCTCCCCGCCCAGCTTCCCCAGCTCCATGATGCCAGAGTTCTGTATTCCAACAAGATCCGGACCCACTGACTCTTATCCATTTGGTATTAACTACATTTTGGTATTCCCTTGCTATTCTAAGGAAATCTCATCCCATGTGCTTGATAGGATTGTGCATAGAAATACAAAAATTACGAATGCTACTTAAAAGCATTCGTAAGGTTCGTCTGACAGGTTTTTCTTAACGAATCTTAAGGTATTCCGAATCATAATTTTCTTCATGAGTAGCATAAATTCACACGATCTGAGTTCATTGCAAACTAAATTTAAAAGAAAACAGTATGACTGACCAATCGCTGAAGCCTGACAGCGAGATCCGCTTCAAAGTCTTCGGAGACGCCGTTGTTAACGTGCCCGTTGCTATTGTGATGCTTGGGCCGGCTGTCGTTGTAGGGGGCGAGGGAGACGAGGATTCGCTTTCGATGCCCGGGCGAGAGGATCTCGAGCACGGTGGTCAGCTCCACCTCCCAGATCCTCCTCACCCGCTCCATGTCTACGTAGCGGTTCTTGCGGAAGACCTCCAGGTACCGCGGGAGACGAATGTGACGGAGCCAGCCGTCCAGGGTCCCGCAATCCCGGCTCCACGTCTCCCCGGGGATGGGGAGGAGGGTGGGGAGAGAGGGGATTGAGTCCAGGATCTTCTGCCTCACCCCTTCGTCTTCCACTCCCATCTCCACCAGGTCCCTATCCTCCAGCACACCTTCTCCCTGTGGACCCGTCACGCACAATTAAGTTCTCGACATGAGAAATATGTATGTTTATTACCATTATAAGTATTAAGAAGTAAAGAAAGGGGTTGGGGTTAATTCCCCACTGAGAATTTATGAATGTGCTTTGGGGGAAAAATTAGGGAGCGTCGCAGAGAGTCGCGCCCACTCGTCAGAACGTATTGGGAATACAACATGCACGCCTACGTCGCCACTGAACATGTTAGTGATGGAATGAAATCCGTCAGGGGCCACCAGCAAGAATTTGATCCCCTTGACCTGACATTTTTCATCCAGCAGGGATCACGCCGAGTCCTTCCCTCTAAAGAGGATATTCCCATTTTCCCGCGATTCTTATGCCATAATGGTCAAACCTGTTTTACTTAACGGTTCTTTATAAATCCATCAACTTCTATGGAGAAAAAGATCTCTTTGGCTTAAAGGCCCTTTTATCTCGCCTTAATGAGGTTTCAGCGTTCGGGCCTTATTTGTCCTGTCAGAATCCCGGCGCATTGAAGTCCCTTCTCTATGCACCCGATGACTCAACAGATTTCCCATGATGGCATCGTCCACTGCACGAAGAACAGTGACCGTTCATTGACTCCACGACTGTCACAAGTACTTTAAGGACTACGTCACTCGACTGAAAAAAAAGTTCAATCAAATCTTTTGTGGAAGTCATGAAACAATGCAAATGAGGGTGGCGGTGTCAGAAAGAAAGAACAGCGGGGGATCGAAACCTCTCACTTCTTCCTTCAGCCTACGCCAATTACTAATACACGATGCCTGTATTGCCTTTTATGTGCAACACTTCATCAATAATACATTGGGTAATATATCTACACAAGTGACGCACAACCTGCGGCCTCTTTCCAACCGGATATAGACCTGCTGGTCTCCGAAAATAAAAGCCCACAGCCAATAATAAACAAATGCGGGAGATATGACATTCGGCAGGGTTTGTGGCCTTCGAGAATAAGTCGAAATCTCAATGTAGCCTTTCATAATAAAAAAATAAAGGCTGCATCACTGATATATTCGAATCAAGATCTTCCGAAAAGGTGTACAGGCACATGGCGAGTCTTGGCCACGGGGATGGTGAGGAAATCGAGGTAAGTAGTCTGGGGGGTTGTGGGGGATTGGTTGCAAACGGGGAAATGTTGCCCTATACATGCGTAAGTTGTTTGGCATAAAAATGTTCTGACTCGTCCTCTCATCGCGATGTATAGAAACAATAGTAGCTGAAGCCCTCTAAGAAGTCTGCTAAAGCAAACAAAATAGCGCACGAAAAGTGGAAGCTGACTGTGCCGAATGACCAGCGTCCGTTGCACTGGAATTCGGGGATTCGACATCTTCATCGGGTATTTGCAGGAGAAGTACGGGATCTCCCGATCAGAGTTTGTTCCAGATGAACACTGAGATTCCACATAGTGAAATCTCTGACAACTCCACTGCCGTAGCAACAGCCGTAAGGAATCACCGTATTAGCTACCTCTAGTTCCTTCATCTCCTTAATCTCTCAGTAAGCACAGGAACCCTCCTACTACCTCTCTGGAACACCGACTCGAGAGGCTCGAGGTCGTCATCCCTCAGACTGGGAGGCCGTTGGTCCCAGTTTTGTCATTCATTCATCAAATGTGTGAGTACGAATGCAGCAACGTCATTGCATATAATCGTAGGATTGTGTCTCATCCAAGCCGATCCCATTTACGGTCTTTGGCCTCTGACGTCGCATGGTTTATTGTGGATGTCAGTGGCACTCCATTTGTGTAAAGAGGAGATTCAAGAGCACTCGCCATCTTTTAAGCAAGCCTTCTTTCTTCAACAATTCAATGAGGCTTCTAGTTGTGCAATTACTAGCGTGTACGTAAGCATGTATGTCAGCGAGTATATGTGCGTGTGCGTGTGCGTGCGTGCACGTGTACGCGTTCGCGTGTGTATGGTATACGTGTCAGCGCAGGCTTTCATCAACGTTGGTGAAAATGCTACTGTTTCAAGTTTCAAAATTCAGGACTTTCACAGAATTTTACGAATTTCGGTAAACTGGACATATATGTGGCTTTCAGCCATTCCATCCATGCACAAACCAATATACACAAATAATTGCGAAATAAATTGGCTATGACAGCGGACGGGAGCATGGAACGGATGGTGGTCCTGGTTCCCGGTCAAAGCGGATTTCCAACGCGGACCTTCTCCAGGCACCAAACTCTCTCTTCCTTCTTTCGCCACCTCCCCCCATCCATTTCACCTCTACCGCCTCGGACGACGCATTTAAAAAAGGTGGCTCGCTACTGGACCGGGTTTTCAACTGCTCGTCCTTCATGCATTGCAGGTCCGCTTTAAACGAATCTGGTCCGAGGATTTCGTGACTTCGGGGCCAGGCCATGCCTCTTTCGGGAACAAGCCAAAGAAGGAAATGACCTAGACCATAATTGGGAAGGGAAAAAAAAAATTCTCCTCACGCCACACACGGGCATGACCAGCCCAACCCCCAACGCTCTTCGCATTATGAATCACGTCGCCTCGCACTCACAGCTGGGATGAACCCGTACGAAAAAAAAAACGCATAACGGGAACACATTTCTTCTTCCCTTTTCGCATATGTGGGCCGACCTTGACGAACAATCTAGCCAGTTTCTTCCACCCTTTCTTCATCTGATGAAAGGGTGAATGTATCCGAGTATCATTTTCCATTCGGAGCCGAGTGACCTCCATTCCCCGCATCCGCCTGGAATACTTCCTCGTCCCAACGTCGACTCCCATTCAGATTCCCGGCACAGGCTACGCCGCCCCTTGCATTTTATATGATGGCATCATCATTCGCCCGTATTCATTAGTGGAATTGCACCCTGGAGGCGCGCAGCACGATAGCGGACACTCTGGGTGCCCTACCTTCATCAAGGACCAATACTTCCTTCGGAAAGAATTCCACTTGATAGCAACCACAAACGCCATCAACCCCCCCCCCCCCCCCCCTCTCTCCTCATCCTCTTGGCGTCCGGAAGCGGGATTCTGCCGCAATCCAAGCAGTGTAATAGCGGAAGCGGGACGACGACTATTACAGGTTTTTCTCTCTTTTTTTCTGAACCCCTCAGGCTGTGAATTTCCCGTTGCCGTGCGAATTAAATCCGATTTTTCAACGAGAGGGGTCGAAACTATCCCATGATGAATGGATTGTACGGCCTGCCAACCTATTGCAGTCCAGTTGTTGCAGACACAGGCTGCCAAGGGAGATTCTCCCCTCCCCCCCCGCCTCCCCAGGGAAATTCCAGACCCGGAACTTTTCCAAAACTGTCGTAAAAAGGTCGCCGAATCAAAAAACAATTCTCCTGTCTTCATGGGGGCATACATAGAGTATAGATACCCTATTCCCAGGAATAACAAAAACCTCTCGTGGACACTGAAGAACTTCAGCTACTGCCGGATAAATAAAACCTTTCTCATCTATTTTAGGAATAAGGCCGAAGACACCATATGATATGTTATGTGTGAAAAGAACACAAGTAAGCGGCAAACCCAAGACTAACACACCTCGACAACCTATTTTTAGTCATTCTGACATGCGCAACCACTCCCATTTTTCTCGTTTTTGCAGAGAGCACATTTCAATGGTCAATAAGGGGCTTATATAAAATTGTAATTCTGTTGCTACCAGCTACCAGCTGTGTTAGGGTGACAATTTAGGTATACTTTTTTTTTCGAACCTCTCCTGATGCAATCGCTTGGATGTCTATGTTAGAGCGAAACTTTCGTCAGGGTTCACGGGAATACCACTACTTCAAACTTGACATTTTTTCCACGACTCACAAAAGCATTCCAGGTCCGAAGAGAGCCAAAGACCTAACGGAGGAGAGGAACGGGACTTACGAGGAAGTGAATGTCGTCGAATCCGTCGGCAAGAAAGCGGGGTAGGAGGTCCCGCGGAAGATCCAGGGATGCCAGCCACCGACCGAGCGCGGCCACCTCCTCCCCCCCACCGCCTCCCACATCACGCCCACCACCACCCACATGGTTAAAGAGGAGGACTTCCTTTTCCACACGGAAGGCAGGAAGAACGGGGTGATCCCCGCAGAGGGACGCCATGATCTCCGTGATCTTGGCCCACTCCTCCTGCTCGTCGAATGAACCTGGACTAGGGCTCTGTCTCTGCTGATGGCCTCGGGGGGGCAGTTTCTTCCCTCCCTCCTCCTCGTCCGCCTCTCCCTCCTTCGTCTTCATCTTGATACCCATCCGCTTCTTCCCTTCCATCGCAACCAGCACTTTCGGTTTGTTCTTCGGCACCGGTGGCTTCACCGATCCCTTCAACAGCCCTGTGTGGTAGTCGAGAAAGAACTCTCACCAACGTTGCAATAATCTCTGGTTTTCCATTCCGTCCTTCGGCTCCATGTCCCAGCGTTGCATTACATGCAGACGCGCGAGTCATCTTTTGATTTTGCATTCTATCACGCGTGGGACAGCTGGAATGGACGTGCTTTATTTCCGTCCTCACTGACGAGGACCCAGAATGATGAATCATGCGTGCATGATAAGGCCACATTTGCAAGAGAGCTGGAATTCAGAATGGGTTGAGCTCTTGTCGCCACAATACCAAGTTATAAAAAGGGCTCGAAACTGGAACTAGCAACGCAAAAAAAAAAATTACTCGTAAAAAAAAATGTACGTGGCGAAAATAATAAAACCTACCATCGAATAATGATTCGAAACCAAAACATACATTAATAGCAAAAAAAGCTAAGGCAGAGCAAAATGAAAGAAAAACAACTTTCCAAGAGAAATGAACACCCACCAGCGAAGAGAGCATGAGAAGGGCGAGGGAGTTCCTGAACGCAGTCGACGGTGCTCACACTCTTGTCGGAAACCGACCCCCCACCACCACTACTAACGCCACCATTCACACCCCCACTATTCGCATCCGCCTTGGTGGGCACCAGGAAGAGAAACTCGTCCTCGGTCTCGGTCTCGATGTCCCGCGATTGACGCTTCAATTCCTGCACGGTGAGGGGGGAGAGAAAGAAAAAAGGACATGGACGTTGAAGGACAAAGCAGACAAATGTACACTGTAAAAAAAAAAAAAAAGAAAAAGAAAAAGAAAAAAAAGTCAAATACGGAGACAAAGAGAGTCAGTGGATGAGGGGGCATAAAAAGAAGGAATCTGCTGAGCCAGGTTTGTGTCTTCAACAGTTAAGAGAATCTCGCCAATACGTAGCATAATCCTCCCTCCCTCTTTTTTTGTTCTAGCAACACTCGACGCACAACTGATTCCCTCGGCAATTACCGTGACCGTGAGGGGCAGTAAATGAACCACGGATGAGATTCCCCGGTGGCTTCTCTCACGACGAGAAGAAATATAGAAAAAAAAAAACGAATGGCGGAAGCCGACCCGGCGAATAAACGAGGCGTGTCGAATCCGAACACGAGTGGGGCGTGTGGTGTCTAGACGTGTACGTACGTGCACGTATTGTACGTGAGCGCAGATATGATATTTAAAAAAAAAAGACGGGGAACAATGCACAAGAAAACACAGCGAGGAGACGACCTGGTTTCACGCGAAAAGAAGACAGGGAGGGAAAGGAAAACAAAAGGGAGGGAAGAAAAAGATAGGAATAAAAAAAGAATGAATCACGTCGAAAAGCACCAGGCACGAGGAGGACGGGACGATTACAACAATCGCTAAACCGTTACTTTTCTCGCTGATGTTGTCACGGACAAAGAAAAAAGAAAAGAAAGGATGTTTCCCCCTCTTTCCTTCTTTCATTGTTTATTTCACGGAATGAGTGTCAAGGGCACGAGTAGATAGTGTGTTTGTTCAGCCCAGAAACAGAAACGAAGGCGAAACCCTCCCTTCACCTGTTCATTATTCTAATGACCTTGCTCACCTTCACGATTCAACGATTGTATCCAAAAATAAAAATTGTGCATGACCATTGCGTACGGGAAGTACTGGCACGTCCACTCCGTTCAAATAAAGACATAAATATTCTTAAGAGGAATCTGCTCCGGCTCATGATGGCACTTGGCTTTCCTTGGCATCTCTCCCTCTCCTCACGTCTCCAACAACAGCCAGCACCCCTCGGATTCCAGGAAGCTCCCAGATAATCCACGAATCCTTCGCGATAAGATTAATTTCCTGAATAATGGGCCACCCTCTCACTTTCTTCGAAAAGTACGTGGGCATCCCCCCTCCAGATTGCAGTGCACACAAATCAAAAGCCAATTAACCGTTAAACATTCCTCCACCACGTGGTCCTCCCCAAACCAGATGCCAACGAGAAACAGGTCTTTCCAGCCCACTCCTCCCCCTCTGGCGAACAAAAGACTGTATCCCTCGCTAGCAGACGATCAGACTTCGAATGCGATGCCCCCTGCCGGATGACCGAGGAAGCTTCGATGCCTTTGAAAAAGGCCAGGGAATGCCGTCAGAGAGCGTGGATCGAAATGGAATCCCCACAATTAAGAAAATTCGGGTAAATGGGAAGATAATACAAAATGTTGGAGGCTGTTCTACAGCGAGGGCGTGACACGGGTCCAGAAGAAGATGCATTACGTGCTACTTAGTAACGATTCGAGTTTTACCAGGGCGAATGCATTAAATTAAAACCGCCTGAATGTGAATTCGTCCTTTCAAATCCCTTGCTGCCATTTCACCCCATCCCTCCCCACATGTAGATGAGGCGAAAATCCTTTGTGTTATGTCCCCTTTCACCCCAAAGTCCTTTGAGTCGGTATCATGTGAAATCATCAAGTACCGGGTCTCATTAAATCCGGCTTCATCCAATTACAATCTGTCTCCTTAGTCCTTAATTACGCCGCCTCTAGACTGTAATGGTTCAGGCGATCGATGGATGGGGGAGAGGGCCGACAATGTGGGCCTTCCCCGGCTCCTACTTTTCAGATCTAACTTATCGACCATGATCGTTAACATCGCTTCTAGCGGATTTTCCCACAAAATAACAATCTGGGCAATTACCTCATAAGTGGTCAAATAAAATCCTACACAATTCTCGCATTTTACGATTGTATACAAGTTAAGTGCTTTTAAGGCTAAATGAGATTCCTAATGCGTAACAAGACCATTAAATCCACTAATATAAACGTAGAAATGTAGGCCTAGGAAGTATGCATAAATATGTATAAGCACCACAGTGAGACGAGAACGCAGGGCACTCACAATAGCAGCATGGGAATGATACACCCGATACCGAATGATAAAATTCCCTTATCTGTCTTTCTCTCCCTCCCAGATAACTAACTACCTGTCGTGTCCCTCATGGGCTGTTCATGCACGAATGGTTCGAAGAATGAGAAGAACGCAGCTGGGTAGAGAAGAGGAGAGAGAGTGAGAATGTGTGTGAAGGTCAGAAAGCACGCAGAGAGGAGCCAAGAAAGAAAAATGAGGAGGGGGGAGGGGGGGGGCACAGTGAGAAATATGAACTCTATATACAGACAGACACATAGAACAGAGACACAGCAGGCATTAAGTAAAATAAAAATAAAACGGTTTCTCTTTGGTAAGTAGAGAGACTCGTAGCCTTGATCTATCTCTGCGTCCCTCTGTGACCAAGGCCGAGTAATTAGTCACGGGATTTGGCACATATTGTGCCGGTGGAGCCTCCCGATGAAGAGACCTGCTGGATTCAGGCCAAAGCAAAGAATCGAGTCCTTTTCGCAGGTCGACGAGTGTCTGGCGGGGGGGGAGGAATCGCCCATTCATCATCCCCCACAATGCCAAATGAGGGATATCGAACTCCATTCAGGGGGGGAAGGCAGGTGTCGGCATTAAAAACACCTCCATTCAGACTCGGCGCGGGGCTCTCTTGGCTACTCCCCGTGAACGCATGGACCTAAGAGAACAGTGATGTACATTAGCTCAATCCTGACACGCTTCTTTTCCGCCGAGTGCATTGTGCTGGGCGGTGTTCATCTCACTTGCTCCGGTGCTCAAGGGCGTCTCATTCCTCATCCGCAACTGCAACTTCACCCATGCGTCATGAAAATCCGTGAGCCTACCCATTCTCTTACACATTTGTCTGTAACTTGCATCGAGATCGTGGGTAGGTAAGAAGGATTAGGGGGTTATCTCTCATTGGCCTCCCCTAATATCCTTATCTGCTCCACGTCTCTTTCACTCGCTTTCACTCACTCTTCTCGCCATTCTGCCAGAGTAGCCCCTCTTCCTTACTGGATCCGCTTTCGGTTAACTTATCTCTCTGTAAACGTTGGATTCGTTGAAAATTAATCCATGTTGGATTCTGAAGTACCTTTGAGGTCTATGCTTACATACTTGTTGGCAGAGGTACTTAGTAATGGCACTTATGAAGAAAAGAATATTCACATATCAAATACATACACGACGAATAGGTCCTTCATCGTGAATTCTGGTAATAGAGTGGAGATGGAATAAGCCTCATAAGACTTGGACCTGCATGCATGTAGCAAGAAAGTGCAGAATTGCAAGATCGAGGAAGGATTTTTGAACGGAGAACTATCCGATAATGCAGCTTTATTCCAGGGAAAATACATGATATTTCCTGGAAATAAAGTAGCATTTTCGGATAGTTCTCTATGCTCTAGATCAGGGTTTCCCAGCCTTTTTCACGCGCGGCCCCATAAATCACGATCATACCATTCAGGATCCCAAGAACTGGCCGAAGTTCAACAGACTCCCCCACCTATGCGCTAAAATCGCAAAGAAAAACATAAATTGGGTTTTTAGTAGCTAGTTCGCGACCCCGATGGGGTCGCGACCCTGAATTGGGAAGCGCTGCTCTAGAAAATGCTCTGTTCAAAAATCCACCCTTGATTTTTATAATTTCGTTTCCCGTTTCTCGCAATTTTTTTTTTTTACGTTATATATATATTGGGGAATACCATACGTGAATATCCGGATCGCCTTAGCAACGCAAGCATGATTCGGATATTTCTACAAGGTAACCGACTTCAGGACTTTTTTTTCGTCATTCAGTCGAGTACGCAAGTGGTTACCCAGATCTCCCAAAGGAGACACCCCAACCACCCCCCCCCCCATCCCCTTCTCCCACAGCCATTAAGAGGCATGGGCCGGCCACCAACCATGCTTTATGGATCCCGACGCAATGCGCACGCTTGGCCCTCACCCTGGCTAGGGCTGTCAGCGATCAGAACCAGCTAATGGTTCCACTTCTGACAAACGCTGCACGTCGCTACGTATAACATGAAACAGTGGCTACCCAAATCCATCAAGTGGCGCATCTGGCGTCCCTGCCCATCGCCCCTCCCCCAAATCGCGACCGCTAAGTACCTTTTGTCGTGCCGTCCTTTTCCCAGCACTCATCCTTCAACAATAATCATCTTTAAGCAATTAATAACTGCTATTAAAATCTTGAGATCTGCGGTCAAGGTGATCCCAACCTTTTGGGAATAAAAAAACAAACTTGGTCAAGAATGACTTACGGCAATTGAGATTCAGAACGTGACCATAAAAACTTGGAAAACCTCCAAGATTTTCATTGACACCCTTACCCTTCTCCAATCAGTGGCGGATCCCAAGGGGGAAGTGGGGGGGGGGGGGGGGGGGGGGGGCAACCGCCCCCCCCATGGCAAGGTTCGCATTCTATTTGAAGGATGAGTGCTGGGAAAAGGACGGCACGACAAAAGGTACTTAGCGGTCGCGATTTGGGGGAGGGGCGATGGGCAGGGACGCCAGATGCGCCACTTGATGGATTTGGGTAGCCACTGTTTCATGGCAAGGTTCGCATTCTATTTTGTAAATTGAAAAAGCGCATGAATTTATCTTCGTTGGGGCCTGTGAAACGGATATTCAGGTTTTACCGCATGAGAAAATTGAAAAAGGCGATAGGCCAGAGGGTGATGTGGTTGGGGAGGGGGGTAGGAACTGAGTAAACGCCCCCCTATGAATAATTTCTGTATCCGCCACTGCCTCCAATATCCTACCCAAGTGGACGCGAGTCGATGACGACGCTGAATTTCAGTGCTGCAAGGCCAAGGGGAGGAGCGGAGCCCGTAGCCTGTGGATTTCCTCCTCCCTCCCATTCATCACGAATAATGGCGCCCTGTGTTTCCTTTGTCCTCGTGACCCTGAATCTCGACGATATTCATTGCTGCTGTGAAGGACAAGTGTCTGTCCAAAGTGAAAACCTTGGAAATGATTTTCCGCACTTCTACGACAGCAGTTCAGCATTACCATAACTCCTGGGAAATTTATTAGTTGGCTGAATAATTTAATATTTTTTGCTTCGCATTCATCCCTGGTTATTTACGTTAGCAGTAACTAGGCCTTCCATAACCGCAACAGTATGGGAAGGTGGAAAGGAGAAAGAAAAAAAAAAAGGCAAGATATGCAAACAAAACGCAGGCGTTACAGACAGCCCGAATAGAGAATGTTTAGTACTATGAATGAATCTCGCCATTCCTTCCTCGATGCTTCAGCGCATCGTGTCGGGGAAATTTTCAGTCTTACTTTCATCTCACTTTGCCTGATTTTAGGAAACGCGACGCCCCATAAAAACAGCAGTTCCTGGTCACGATACCCATCTGGATCATGCGTATTGACTCGAAGGAGAGCTCAAGAGGCACGTCACGCTCCCAAGATCTGAGGGGAGGAAAGAAGACTCGGGCAGGGATCCGACCAGAGAATGGGATTTCGCTCAATCATGCCCCTCTTCACTTAATCTACAGAGCTTAGCCAGATTGCTTTCATTCTTTTGTTTGGTCTGGAATGGAATGATAACTAGAACATGGCACGACCTCTCGGCTTTCGTCACATCCCACCACCACTCGCCACCACTAGCCGGTGGATAGACCGCGAAGAATTTACGATCATTAAACTTTTGATTACACATAGACTCCATTGTCCTCTGCCAATGAATGGGTGGCGACAAGATACCGGATGCATTTTGTATCTAGCAAGCGCTATTCCGTATATATGATCGCATAACATCGGTATGTGCAGTAGGATGTAAGGATTCACCAGGAATCCAGGAAGTAGAAAAGCAACTTGAATAATTGGATGCATGAATGCTGAGAACCGACCGTTAGACTTTCTCCTTAGGTCAACATAGGAGGATACCAGGGTTCTCCTTCCAGAAATTTCCGAATCGCCAAAAAAAAATAAACATTCAAACGTGCTGAAACTAGGAGGAATGTCAAGCATCCTCGGAGGCATAACCACTCTGACAGTATGGAACATCTTCTCCTATTAAGCTGGTGAAAGCCCCCTGAGAGCATGCATGTGATAAAGTTCTGGAACCTTCAAATTTTCTTCCTTTAACATTTTTACTTATAAAAGTGACTAGGGAAAGTTCTGCGCCTATTTCTTTTAACTCATAAACAGAGAAATCTAAAGAGATGAGCTGTTTGAATTTTGGCAGAAATAGGAGAAATGTAAATTGTAGAGTGATCCATTAGGTAATTTCAATTAGAATTGGGAATAACTATTATGTTCACAGCAGCTTCGAATGCTATCATATTCCTGCGGATGGAATCCCCTTTTCACCATTCCTGATACAGCCTCCTATGTGGTAAAGAGGTATATCCTGATAATAAGTTGAAAATTTTGCCGATGCAAAAATCCGCAGAGGTTTGGCAATGCTGTTTAGGTTTCCATTCAGCCAATATCTCCAGCCTCTCTTCCCAAAATCAACCCAGTCCTGCAGTTAGAAAGGATACCCTGCCACTCCAGAGAGGGAAAATAAACAAGGGCGGATTGACTTCAGCATAGTGATGTTACCACTTCACCGCCTAAATAGAAAGCATTAGAGACCAGCAATATTTTTTCACAATGGCGAGCATTGCAGGAGACTTTTAGGAATTCCTCAAATCTGTTAAAAAATGTATACAGTAATTTCCATGCAACAGGGAATAGGTCGTCACCTGTCCATCGAAGTCACGACAAAGGACTGTAGAAAAGAAACCCCACCGACAACCTAACAAGTACCGGCACCGCGGCACCTCACACCCTCAAAAAGACCCGAGAGACGAACCTGGCCGATCGGTCGGATGCGGGAGTGAATGGACGTCTCCGCCTGGCGGGCCGACGGCGGTGGGTGCTCCGGGGTCGGCGGCTGCTTGTACTTGCTGGGGCTCGGCGGCGTCTCCGGCGTCCCCATCAGGTTCTCCCTCCGTCGCGCCCTCGGTCTCTTTCCTCCATCCCTCCCTCCTCCCTCCCTCTTCCCGTGACCGGTCGTCGCAGCCTCGGCGTTCCGGCTGCGGACCGTCACGAGGTCCTCGTCGTCCTCGGACTCGCCCGTGTCGTCCAAGACGTTCTCGTAACTGCCGGCGACGCTGCGGCGGAGCTTCGCCGCGCTCATCTTCCCTTCCTTCGAGAGGAGCGTGTCGTCTCGGAAGGACGTGTGATTGTCTTTGGCCTTGGATGCACCACCCAATAGGTACGGCGAGGATGGACCAGGAGTCCGACGGGGTGGTTTCATGGGTGGCTGCGGCTAAAAAAAAAATTTCAAATGCATTTTTTATAAGATAAAAAAATGCACACACTATTCCAACTTTTCGCATCGAAAAGTTTAGATACCCACTTTTTGACTAGACTGCAAGGTATAGAAACCACTCTTTGGTCTGGGGATGCAGCTTTGAGACCTTGAAGCAAGATTCATCAGGTTGCTGGTGGCGCGTTCATCGAGGGACAGAGACAGCAAGTCTCTGTGTGGCCGCTTTGGAGATCGGGATGGGGACGGGGAAGTCCCCGGGCGGGAACTGCTGGCATCCGACCCATCCTCCGAGTCTTGGTAACTCGAGTCCAGGGACTTGGAGGGACACTTCTCCTCCATCTTCTCCCTAGAAAAGAAATGGAAACTCGAATCTTCTGGAGGGACCACACACACCCCCCCCCCCCCCNGGTAGTCGCCCCCCCCCCCCCCCCCCCCCCCCCCCCCCCCCCCCCCCCCCAACTCGACAACTCACCTCCGGGCACGGATCTTCTCGGACAGCGCGTCCTGGAAGATCTTCCACGCCTGCTGAGATTCCGACCCGATGACCCCCTCGAAGGGGCTATAGCGGGAGGAATGGACCCCACCGCTTTCGCTGCCTGTGCTCTCTCCGTCCACTGCAGCCAGATGCCCTGCAACACATCAACATTGATCTTTGGCTCCTGCATTCGTAGTGGATAATTGACACGTCCGCCATTAATCTTCTCGTGGAGGGACTATCCACATCCATTCATCGATAGGGTTCCTCCAGTAATTCAACAAGGATATGGCACTACAAAACAATATTAGTATTTTGATTTACTAAAACTTGCCGATTTTTTATTTTCGGCACCAGCATGCATTATATGCCCTTGATACACATTCCAACTTGACATTATTTGACTCGTGTGAGACATGCAATAGACATGTCCCTACTCTTGACGATGTTCGCCATCTCCTTGGTGACCGAGGTGCGGAGCTCGTCCAGGATGTCCAGGACGGTCCTTTTCTGGGAGTCCTTAATGTCCAGGTCCACGCCAGCCTTGATGAGAGCCTTGAACACCTCCACCTTCCCGCATAAGGTGGCTTCGTGCAAGGCCGATCCGCCCGGGGTCACCGCGTTCACATCCATCCCGGCCCGTAACAGCAGCCCCACCACTTCCCTGGAACATGCAACTCGGATACTGACCCGCTTCCGCACGAAAGAACTAGAGGCAGGCCTCCCAACTCATCGATTTCATCTTTTGCCCCATCTCGCATTTCGTCAACCATCAGTGCATCGTTCCCCAAAGCCCACACGAGCCCTCACTTGTGTCCATTGCGAGCAGCGGCGTGAAGCGGCGTGTGGGTGAAAAAGCAGTTATCGGCGGTGGACGGCGCGTGGTACGGTCGAATGAGCTCCGGATGGGTCCGAAGGAGCACACGAACGGTGGAAGTCCTCCCGTACCGGGCGGCCAGGTCCAGCGGGGTCTCCGCCCGGCTGTTCATGATCCGCGGGTCCCCGCTGTACTCCAGCAGCAGGCTCACCACTCCCGTGTGCCCGTACTGGGAAGCGCAGTGCAACGCCGTCTCGCTGTCCTTGTTCTACAGACACAACAGCCGTGGTTGCTTCATCTACGTGGAACGCGGAGTCGAAGATCGTATGAGAACTCGGAAAAACAAGCTGAGTAAAGCTCGGTTCAACATTTGCATCGTGTGGAGGGATTTTGCGAGATACGAGAAACGGAGAAAAGCATGCTGCAAGCCTGCAGACAGCTCCTACAAATTCAATTGCATATTCAGTCGATGAGACTTTTAAAAAATGAAATCGATTCAAAGTTCAACACGCATAAAGAATCTTTGCTAAATCATGCTCGTAAAAAGTTTCCGAATCGTTACAATCCCGAAGACAGTCTCTCTCCTTGGACGGCATTTCGAAGAACCACACCTCAAGTGTCTGCGAACAAATCCCCAGCCCGGCATAAGTTTGGACCACAGTGTATGTATTTCGATTCATTCGAGAGGGGGCACCCCCAGACACAGTCTTGAAAAATCTCATGTTTATCAAGGAGGAGGGAATTCCGACAATGTTTTACTTGCCCGGACCGGCGGGAAGATCGATCGTCGAAGGGTAATTTATTCATATCTAGCGAGAATTGAATTTTAAATTGGCTCCAGCTCAAGGTGCCATCGAGAGGTCCATTAATGGAGTTAATGAGCCACACAGGGGTGTGGCTCATTAACTCCTGCCTTTCCCCAGGGAGGTCAGGAGTTCGCATCCGTTCAAGTTGCGAAAACTCGACGAGATCTGACATGAGATAAGCTAAAAGGGGGAACATCCAAATTGGGGAAATCATGTCAGCCCGAGTCAAAGGACGAACGAGGGAGGAAGCGCAGAGGATAGGGAACGCATAGGGAGCGCATGGGAAACGCACAGGGAACGCCGCCCTGCCTCTACCGAATGGGGTGAAACTTTCTCTCTCATTAATGCCCCCTTTCTTTTCGAAAAGACAAGTGCTAATTGCATACGAGGTCATTCATGCATAAGTGAGCGGGAGGGGGTTGAAAAGAACGGGGGGGAATGAAGAGAGAAGAAGAAGCACTTGTTCCATCGTTCCCTTAGAAAAAAAAAAGGGATTTATGATCTCTCTTTTGGTCCGGATGCAAAGTGCAGGCAGCAATTACACAGGGAAATGAAAGAAGAGAGAGGGAGACCTATTTTCTCCATTTCACGGTTCGCGGCGTCTTCACATGAATCATCAAGAAAGAAAAAACTCCCTCTTCGGTGTTCCATATTTCGAGGAATTGAGACAAAAACGGAATGAATAACTGCGGAAGAAGCACAAAAAAATACCCATAAAACCAAGGAGACTGAACTTCCCTCTAACGGTGCAAAAAAAAAATAATCCACGTGGAAGAACATGATCCCTCTCTCGACCTAAAACCACTCAAGTGACATCGCCTCACCTGGAAAGGCTTTTTTCTCCCCCAAAAAGACAATGGAGACCTCAAAGAAAAAGAACACGGCGACCTTTCCGCTTCCCTTCCGCGCAAAAGGCCTGCACGCGACTCGGCCGGGAGTGTCAGAGACAGGAGGGGGGGGGACAGGGGGGGGACAGGGGGGGGGGAGGGGAACAGGGGGGCAAAGAGAGAGACAGAAACGCACAAAGGAATAGGAAGAAGAGAAGAGAATGGAATCGAAAGCGAAAATGATAATCGCGTTTTCCACTCGCCTGGACTCGGCGCCGTTCTTCCATTAAAAGTTTTTCGCCCTCCCGACCGAGGGAAGATCTTTCCGAGGGAGAGAGAAGAGAGAGATCCGTGAAAGGATGAGGGATTCGCATTTTAATCGAATGATCCTCGGAATCGATCCCATTCTCCCGGTGTCCGGCTCAATTAGCGCCCCGATTCAAGGGCGGGAAGGCGTGAAATATTTCAAAATTAAACATCGGGGGGCGAAAGGGAGGGGAGGCGGCCGTCAATGATGCTAATTGGATGTCCCTTCAGATAGCGACAAGGGTTAAAAAAAAAAATGGAAAGGGGGAAGACAATTCTGAAAAAGGCTGATGGTGACATTACGTTCTGCCGTTTTCCGGTATCGAAAACACGCTATCTCTGATATTTCCCATAGGAATGATAAGAAAAATCCCACTTATTTGCTTGTTTACAGATCTGCCTATTGTAATCACTCAAGAACCTTTTAAATGCTGCCTGACATCGAAAAAACACGACGAAATTTGTTTCCTTCCTAAACCCGGTAGTCATATAGCCAATCTCTTTTTTCTTCTTCATTCCGCAAAAAGACGGAACCTCGCTCGTAGACCTTACGAAAATACATTTATAAATATATAACATAGATTGCACGCACTGTCTGATAAAGAAAGACTAGCCCCGTTTTACCCTCTCATTGCACGAAAGACAACCAAACATTGACGCCGCAACTCGCTTCTAAATCCGGTTTTGTTCTATTTTTTTTTTCCTCGTGAATCCGGAGTCTCCAGCGCCACGTGGTAAAACTTTTGCAAGAGGGAAAAGCGGGATTCCGTCTGCGAATTCTTGCTGAATAAAATAGAAAACAGTGGTCCATGGGACCCCCTCCTTTTCTTGAGAAAAGTCTAGCAGAGGAAACGAGAATGATTCATTCCCTTTAAATCTTAAAGCAATTTTGCACGCAGGGTTGAAATACTCATTTTCAATAAAATATTAACGTGCAAATGAAAAAGTGACGATATAAGGTCTGCCACTGACACGAACCTCATCGAGACCGAACTTAGCCTCATCTTCCCTATGTTTGTGGGTAAACCAATATTCTTCTCGACCACTGCATATGTAAGACAATCGAGTCTTCGTAGGACAACGAAAAGTGTAAGACACGGAGAGATCCACTAATAAACAGGACATACATAAGTCTTCTAATGTTCCATTCAACCCGGAAATAAAATTCCTTTAACCGGTATTCGCGTGAACAATTGCGATAAACAATTTCTGATTGCAATTTAGAATCATTAGCTCAAAACTATACACTTTTGTCATTCGTTAGGTATTCTGACACTTATAATTGAGTGCTTACATTCGAAAGATATTTATAATTGAAACATTCTCCATACTTATGATGAAAGGTGAGAGAAACGAGGAGTAAGCCAATCTCCCAAAAATAGAACCACAAACAAAGCGTTTATATGAACCCTGACTCCACGTGGCGGAAGTTTCGCCGAGAGAGCTCGAAGTGTGTGCCGATGCGGCAGGTTTAATCCGCTTTCGATCGCCGCTCATCTATAAATGAGATTACCTGGCTCAAAGCAGCTCGTCCTGGAGAACCTGAAAGTCGAACGGAGAGCTAAAGGGCTGGATCCCAGGCCCTCCACCCCAGGCCCTCCGCCCCGGAGAAGGGAGGGCACGATCCATGGGAAGGATGACGCCGACGAGGGCAGGCCCGCGATATCCGAGGAATGGGAGGATGTTCATCTGGATAATGCGGTGGGGGCCCAGGGAAGCGGACACGATGCCATTATGGAGCCTCCCCCCACGAAAAGGGGTGAGAGGGAACAATCACTAAAATTGGGTCGGATGCTACTAATTCATTCATTCGTTCGTTCCTTCGATTCCCGTCCACGTCACATATGTCACCGTCGGTCGGAGTAAAAAAAAAAAAGTTTTCTAAAAAATGAGAGGGGCTGGGCTACACTGGGCCAAAGCCCGGGGCTTTTAATTCTGATTCCCTCTCTTTCATCCGACTAAGTAGTCGAGCCTGCACGGTCCTTTAGGCAAACTTCATACTACTAATTCCTTACTTGTTTGTTTTTTACTTGAGAGTTTTCAACTCTCGAACTCCGTCATCAAGCATTTGAAAACGGTTCCAGCTAGGTTTAAAAAGTTTTCATTGTGACGATTCTCGACTCTATAACGACATCAATCGGTTCAATCCTCCTCTCTCCAAGCACTAAGTTTTTCTGTCCAGTTAACATAGCACTTTTCCATCGTAGCTACGGCAGGCATGGAATTCCGCACTCCACCTCTATGCCACAAGTCCAAAAAGTCTTAACTTTCGTTTTATTACCCGTCGATTAGCCGCCGGTGGGCATGAGCCAGCGAGGAGCCAAAAAAGGAATCGGATCCGTCGAGTACCCGGCCACGCAATCAGAATCCAGCACCACACGAATCGAGAACCTCCGTGAAAAAAAAAAATCAATACGAGAAGCAATCGAACCCCTAGTGCTCATTTCTGCACTCATCAACGAATACCCCTGGAAATCTGAGACCGTGAAGCAGGGGCCAACCGAAGCATTCATTCTCATTCCTGCTTGGAACCCGGACGCGCATGAAACTCATTCGGAAGAAGCGTCAGGACGCCTCACGTCCCGCTCAACCTCTCCAATTCTCGCGAGAAAAAAACCCTCCAAATTGTTGCCCTTAACGACTGCCTTACTTAAAATGCAATTAGCAAGTCGCGCCAAGAAAGCCAGCGCCAGTCGCGTGACAACGCAAGGAGCAAATGAACACCCCCTCCCCTTGCTGGAAGAGCCTCCCCCCCCCCCCTACCTCACCTCGTCTGCTCCCTCTTCAATCCCTCGATAGAACCACGGGCAAACGGAAAGAACGCAGCAGCGAAGCAGAGCCGATGAAAGCCCTAGCGGCGGTTACTACCAGTAACAAGTGTCGGAAGAGCATTACCATGCAGAGTTCTATCAGCTCTGACAAATATACTTTTTTCATGATTCAATAAACACTAGTTATTGGATAGCCCTCGATCCCCTCCCGACTTTAAATCTGCATCCAATCGATAGCCGGCTTAAAAAAAAAAAAAAGAGGCGAGCAATCGACGTAGGATTCAAGCTTACTTTAAATTCGGACTTTGTTCCAAGTTTAGTCATTAAAAGCAAGAAACAGGTCGCACTGTTCACGAGTTGACAAAAAAAAGCCTTGGGTTCTCCGGTTCGACCATCTGCTACAGGAGGCGATAAAAGGCTCATTGCCATCTGATAAAAGTTTGACGGGAGGGTATTTAGCATGGTGTCACGATACGAAAAGGGTCATGTTTATATCCAGGGCATATTTACCCTATCGGAAGGCGTCAGGCCCTCTTTTTTCCCCGTTCCTCCTCTCCCCCCTCCCCTCATTAAAATGAACAGGAGAACGCCTGATAAAGAGAAAAAAAAAATACACGAAAAAAAAAACACAAAAAAGCTATAATAAGAGGGGGTGTGATGACGACGGCACGTGCCGGGCTCACAATGCCGTCAAAGGCGTCATAACATCCGCCGATTGTGAAAATTGCGCATCGCTCCGCTTCTCGCTTCCTTTTCCTTCCCTTCCCTCACGTGTCGCATTATGATTCGGATTATCCGTGAGAGGGGGTTGGGACGAGATGACGAAGCTTATCTCGAGAAAAAGACTAGATTTTGAATCCATCTGAATGGGAGTGCCCCCCCCCCCTTTGTGAGAGACGCTCCATGAACGCGAAGTTCTACATTTCGCATCTGTAACGTTCTTGGGCGTTACGACTCCATGCAGAACATTTCCACCCGTTTTGAGCGTACGATACAGGGCCGTAATATAGGCAGCCGAGTGGATAAAGGCACGAAGACGTGTTACCGTCACCTCCGCTATTTAAAAAATTGAGGCCCCCTTGCAGTAAAACATCGAGAACTCAAATCCCCCTAAACATCGAATATTTTTTCCCCGCCCCCACCAACTTGCCCATGTTCCCGACGCTAAACACGAGGGACGAGGCACCCCAAAGTAAATGGACGAACGCGCTGAAAGGGTACACGCGAGATCCAAACGAATGCATCAGCCGGCTGCCGCCTCTCCCACCGATCCCCCGACGGTAGCACATGCTGCACGTGCCGATCGTGGACTCTCGCTCGGAGCAGTGACGAGTCACGTGTCGGCGGTCCACGTTCGCCGTGAACAGCGGGTTGCAGTCCGTCGAGAGGCATTTCACGATGAGATGCACTCGGAGAGGGCTACGATCGCGCAATTCCAGCCCCCCACAAAAAAAATCGTCGTCACCACCTTGCTCTCAGAAGATGCTATTGCTCAATACACCTGCCATACTTAATTACGACGACATGCTCGATCGGATGCGTGAATCGCAATCAACCGGGGGAGACTGATGTCGAGAGATACCATCACCGACAGAACTGCATAGCATACCCTCGTCTACCGCACACAATTCCAGCTGTTTGTCCCTCTCATTTAATAAACCACCTCGCCTACTCCATTGGTCGAATGACCACGAGTCGATTTCTCGTTCCGTTAAAAACGCATGTCTCTCCTACTCTTCCTCGAAACATGATCCTTATAACTCGCATTTTTCTTTTCCCACCAACCACAATTCGCTATAATCGTTCATCGTTAGCATAGCACTAAATAAAATATAAAATGTCAGATATGGGAGACCTTGACTTCTCTCACATCATAACCGTTGCCTCTTCTGAGAGCCTCTGGGAACGACGAAAGAGTCACTCACGCCCACGCAGCTAATACAATTTTTAAAATCTCTGTTTCGATGTTTTAATGCACGACATCTGGCCCTACTTCTTGGCGACTGTCTCACGATGATAATGCAGTGACATCTGATCAAACAACTGCACCCTCAGGACTACCAAACGAGGACATCGCAATCACCCTATGGATCTAAAACTTCCACCCCCAGTCCTTAAGATTCCGAGACGAGGATCCGGAACCAACCCACGGTGCGGTACAGACTCCCTGGCGATACGGAAACCCCCGTGACGCAGCGCATCCCGAGTCTAAATACGGCACATGAAAGACCCCCAATGGTGAAGGTTGTTCAACGAGTGGCGCATCCCCGGAGTACCTCGCCCAGGATCCTGGGTGAAAGCGCGATGATGATTGAGCGCCTGGCGCCAGCCAAGTCAAATAATACCGATGCCCCTACCCATTTAGGCGATGTTCAGCCTTTAAAACTGCGTTTAACAAGCTTACACCCTCTCCCCGAATGACCCCATCTCGACCGAGCTTTCCTCTCATCAGGCGGGACTCACGGTCATATTGACATCCGGGATGGACGGGCCATGCGAGAGGAGCAGCTCCACGATCTCCTCGTTCCCGGTCCAGGCCGCCAGATGGAGCGGGGACGAGCCCCGGTTGTCGGTCAGGTTCGTCGACGCATCGTTCTGCAGCAACAGCGTCACCACGTCCCTGTCGAATGTCCAGCCATAGCATCAAGACCCTCAAGCAAAAGGATAACATCTGTCAAGTGGTAGGATATCCGTAATAGTAAACGTTTCATTGATGCAAAAAAGAAAATAAAAAGCGAAAATGAGGCTCTGTGGTGCATACTAACCTACAGTAGCGTGTCCAGAAAATAAAAACACGGAGTTAACAGATGAAAAAATGGTAACCCACCCTGCTTTTATAGCCAAATTTTAAAAAATCGTGTACTGTTTCGTGTACTGTTATTTTCTCAATAACAAAATACAAAAATGTTATATGAAATGTACTAATGAGTAAAATACTTTTCAACAAATAGTATTTTTCAAAAATGTCTTTTTAAAATAGATTTACTTGTCGGACGTGATTTTACTTAAACTTCATTTAGTAGCTATCAAATTGTTGTAATAGTTACCGTAAAGACGTGAATCCTTGTCGTAAATTTTGTTCACGGTAACCATTGAATTGTCCGTGATAGGAAAATCTTGCGTTATCCTATACAAATGGTGACAAATCCTGTATAATGATGCAGAAAGGTGTTTAATGATAGACAATAGTGTACAAAGCTATATAAATCCTACCTAATAGTATACAATCGTTACTAGCATAAAAATAAAAGCGGAAAATTTGTAATTCATTTACAATTTATGACTGCTGAAGAAGTATATAGTATAGCCATTCATCTTCCAGAAAAGGAACTTAATAAACTATATATTATGATAGGAAATAAAGTTAATGTAAATCCTAAGTTTAAAAAGACAAAGAAGCAAACATTAACAAGGAAAGAGGCTATAGATTATTTACTTAAAAATGTTTTTTCAAAAAAGTGATTATAATTAAGATTGAACTTTTCACCATTTTATTAGTTTTAAAAGCTTTAAACATAAAAAAGATGAACTATATAGCTCTGGGGGGGGGGGGGGGGGGGGGGAGTTATGATCCCCATAACCCCCCCCCTCCCCATTGGGCACGCCACTGCTAACGTATCTTGGGGTTCAAAACATTTATTTACATGAATGAGTCACTGACAATGTCTGCATGTTGTATAATTTGCCAGCAGTAATGGTTTACCATGAGACTGTCAGTATCTTCCTGGACTACATCTATCCATAACACTATTTGGTACTAAGTGATATGCTGTATCTTCATGGAAAGCAGTGAAACAGTTGAAGAAGAACCCTATCTTGGATTGAGGAATGCCAAATTAGCAGTGTACTGCTTGGATAGACCTTAGGTTTATCCATAGTCATACACCTTAGGTCTTCCTCAATGATGACTTCACAGAGTGATAAAAAAAATTCCTAGTTGGACATATTTTAAATGCCCAACCACAATCAGGCAACAGTATCAAACTACAACCCTTCCAACAATACCTTTAAGGACCTGGAGCAGTATCTCAAGATGAATGCCAAACCCTGGCATATTTTTTAAAATGAGTTTTAAATGTAATTTGCCATCATTTTTGCTTGTTGAAATGGGAAAAAAAATCCCCATTTCTGGTTATGAGAACCAAGTTTTACTACACTCGTGGAACAAAATGGAAAGAACCTTTAAAACCCCCTCTTCCTTTCAACTTCAATTTTCGCTATATCCTACCACATTCCTTGCCATAAAAAAAGCTTTTGTCAAAAATCACTGCCAGCAGAATTGCCCAAGGACCATAGTTTGCCCACCACTGCTCTAGAGTGTGAGATGAAGCTAAAAAATAGGGATTCCCAATTGTTGTCAAACCATCACAGTCGCTAGGTGAGTATAGATTGAAACTGAAAACTGGAAATGGGTTTAGAGCTGGAGAAAAACCAACAGCAGTTTTGAGCAGTTGAAATTTTATATTTGAATGAGTGACAAAAAATTGTTATTCATCAATGGTCAATTAACCATATTACAGAGTATTCCTCAACTGTTATGGAAGCAACCAGAGTTATGCATGGGATTTGGGAAGAGTGCAGTGAAGATTAGAGCAAGACCATGAAAGTCAAGAGGAAGCAGTACTAAGGTGGTCCAGGGAGGACAGAAACAGGTCAATTCAAACTTGCTTGTCCACTATGAGGGAAACCCCGAATGTTTTGGAATTTATTAATGTCCCTTCCTCCTTGAAGATTAGATGAAATTACTCCTTGACAAATAATGCCATGCAAGATTTTCCACGTGTCTGGTTTTATAGCATCATCCTGACACAGTAGGAGTTGACTTACTTGTGTCCATTGAGTGCAGCATGATGAAGGGCCGAATAGCCACTACTATCAGTGACATTGGGGCCAGGTCCTCTCCTCAGGCTATAAATAGTAATAGTTTGAATAATTTTCATAAACATCATTGATACTGCATTAATGGCCTCATGAATTGATAATCAAAGCCTAGCAGTAAAATGGGACAGTAATAAAAAGTAAGATATCTTTTGAATAAGCCATTGTTGATAAAGATAGGTTCATAAAATCCAGGAATTTGAAAGTTTTGTTAAAACTGAAAATTTTTTTTGAGATTCTAACTTGTAAGTAGCAACTGACTTTTCCCTGATTACCCTACCAATTCAACAAAGACATGCTAGATTACCTTTGATAAGCTTAACCCATTCCACTCACTGCCAGCAATTTTCCTTACTTATTTAGGTATTGCATAATAAGCTTTGAAATGAATAGTGTCCCATAACTGGAATAATTGTCCAACAAAGTTTAATTATTAGGTACATTATCTCAGAAATCATCTCCAATATATTCAAACATGATGAAAAGGTTTTTCTGCTTGATTAAGCTACTTTACTGACTATAGATATTTAACTGATTCCTACATTTCCTATACTTAGAACAATGATAGTGTCACAGAAAGCAGAGGAAGGCTAAAATTGTTAGTCCCTCACAAGAGTATGTGTATAGAGTATATGTAATGGTATATTGTTAAGATTGCTTAAATGTAACAGAGAGTAATCAGTAGGATCCACATTTGCAGTATTGATTTGTGAGCTCAGGGTATAAGAGTCATGGAAATAAATCTGTGAGCAACAGACAACTATTACAGGTAAACTGTGGTCCACTTGTTTGGTCTCTAGCAAAAAAGCTCCAGAACCCTACATTGTCCATACCATGTCCAGGTCTTATTAGAAACAAGACAGAAGGAATCCCAGGACAGAAGAGCAATTCAAATGAAACTGGGACCTAGCCTACGCTCTTTAGTATGCCAATATCAGCCAACAGACTTTCCTAATTGACTTTGCATCTTTTATTTAATGAATGTGTCTAGCCATACATCGAGGCATGCCAGTCCATCCCATCCTGGGCCTATGTCTGACCAAAGAAGTCTCTAAATCAAATACCACTATTAGGTAAAGCCAAAGCAACTGTCCGAGTAGGCACAGACCGAATATTCGAAAAGAACGAAAATACAGGCCACACATTCGCACCTTACAGATACAATCAAATAAATTCGGCAATCCAATGTATTCGAATGTAAATGTGGTTACGGGCGGAATTCCATAAGACATATACGTTAGAAATCCCTTTAGGCTTAGGAATTCTTCAAAGCCCACGCCAAATATTTAGACCCAGGCCTAAGCCTACCTGGCAATGGGCCCAACTTTTTTCGTCCTGAGACTGAGCAACTTTTCGACAAGTGTGAAATCTCCATTCCTGGCTGCATCGATGAGTTCTTGTTCCTTGCCCATCCCACCCGAGGCCCCTGGCCGAGCCTTCGCCGAGTCAAACGATCACCCAGCGATTCATTTCATTTCGAAAATGAATCGAGAATAATTGGGATTTGGGACCCTACTCACGCACTTTCCATGGAGGCAGACATATTGGCGATAGCAGCGCCAATTTCTCCCTTCTATCATCGATCCCTTCTCGGTTCCTTGTGATATATATCAATGGTGCTTATCTGGTTCTTTTTTTATCTCTCTCTTTCTATCCTCGTGATCTAACAGATGGACCCATTGACTGACTTTGTGCGTATTTGCAACTCCAAGACTGAGCCTAAGTCCTAGAATGAGTACATGGGAGCCCGGCCTAAACCCCGAACACCACGGGGTCGAGTGTAGCGAGATGTGCACCTTCTTCTGTGCTTATCACCTTAGTAAAGTGAAATTGGATTTGATTTGAGTGGGAAACACGGTATATTCTGGATTGCATGCGATCCAGTTCACCCGCGATCCTTCAGCGCCTACTTCTTCCATATTCCTACCACTTGCACCTCCTTTGAGAATGAAAGGCTTATAGGCTACCTAATTGTTGATTTGGATGTTAATACTGATTATTATTTCAATTCACGCCCTCAACTATGGTTTTTTGTTGTAAATTTTCATTTATTGCAACTGAGTTTCAGTATGGACATGGCATGATTTTTGCTGAATTGTAAACAAGGGCCCTATGGCAGTGGGGCCCAGATTAAGGTAAAAACAAAGGAATTCATCCAGTATTTAACCCTTTCAGGAGTGGGTTATTCTGGAGGTGTTCAAGCATCTTCAATTCAAAACCATTTGCATAAAGAAGTGGGACATACTGATGCGTTCATACTCCTGAAAGGGTTAAGAAACCTTGGGCTGTGGTAGAGATATCTGAATTTAGTGTTGCCCAGATTTTCCCAGTTGCTGCAGAAAATTATGCAAAGCTGATAATGAATAGTCTGTCTGAACCAAGTTCCCTAGGTACTCCCTTTTTTTTTCCTTGTATCTCAAATTGATATTAGTGGCAGTAAGCAGATGGAGAGCTTTTGATGTCCAGATAGCTGCTTTTGTTAATACTCTCTCCTTTTTTCTGTCATAGATAGATGGTTGAAGACTCTGGCATCAGATGTAGTTTGATCCTTCTTCAAATCATGACTCTTTTTTAAGAATGTCTCTCAGTTGGAGAGACTCAACCTAGGCTCAGGTGATGAAGAAGCATTCCATGAAATTATATTCATCAGCTAGTTGCATTTCACCTGGAGCAATCCCAACTTGTGGGATCCAGTACTGCTTAGCTTTGTTGATATGCCTGTTCTCAGCCCATGGAGTGAATTGCCAGAATGCAAACCTAAACCCTGGTGAGATTGCTTATGCACTTATTTCATTAGGGTATATATATATATATATATATATATTCAGGCTAGTTTTTTTTTTGTCTCTGTTAACGTGCATCTGAAGCAGATTTTAGATCATTTGGATTGTTTTGTCAAGTTTTCATTCTTTAGCAACTTTTTATCATATAGAAGAATAATGCCACTTTCAGACTGTGCTACATCCTTAGTGATGACAAGTAATGGAGCTGTAATGTGTTACTCTAATGAAGTGTAATTTATAGTCATATGAGGTGTAACAAGTTGTAGGGTTTAAGCGTTGGATTGCATGTTAACAAAAATCTCTGCATCATGATGGTTGTTGGCATACTGAGATTGACACATGTTAAGAATCTTCCTTGTCAGTTGAAAAGAATCCTAAAGCAAAGTGGTAACATTGAACCATTCATAAATGAAAGAAAAGGCCAAAACTTTAACTCCAAACAACTGTTCAACATGTTGAGCATCTTAGCATTAATCTGTGACATTGGATGGATGTTGTTTATGAATAAAATGCCATAAAATTTCATGGAACACCCTCTTTCTACTTAGGAAGTAATGTATTTGTTACTGCATGTTCTGCATTTACTCCCTGGGCCGTAAGGGCCAGTCTCAGAAAATGTAAGTCACATCCTCATACATCAATGAAAATTGACAATCTTTCAGTTTGTCTCTGACATAAATGCAGGACCTATGAACTGAGTGTTTGATTTTCATTTGTCTGAGGCCTCCTTGGTAGGAGTAGCAGACAAATCACTACTCCAAAAAGCCACATGCTATGTAGTACTTTTACCCTTGATCTTATTGCAATCTTAGGTAAAAAAGGACATTTTTATTATTAAAGTTTTGAGTTTTTCATCTAAATACCATTGTTGCGAAAGTGACTGTTGTGAATTCCAATTACTCTTTGGTTTCTCATAGGAAATGGTTATGCTGCTCCTGTGGATCATGCATTCGTGTTCCATCAGGAAGGAGTCATGCAACATGAGGAGGTGTTATTGCCTCCTCTTTCCATATGGACCCTTCACATGGAAAACCTACCTCCAAGCATTGGTTTCATCATCTTCCAGGCCCATGCACAATTTCTCAATCTCACCTTCTCTGAGCAAATAGTCCCAAATGTCCGCAACTCAGTAAATGGAACCAACGTTGGATCAGTGACAAAATTGACGAACTCACAGACTGTTTCAAATTCTGTCTATGTGATCAATCCTCATAATGCAACACTGAGAACACTTCTTGTTGCTGTGGCTCATTCTAACACAAGTAAGAGCAAAATCTGCTTTTTCTAGCTTTTCATGTACTGTTTTTTTTTTTTGTTTGAATTCCTGTTCTTTTCCATGGTCAGGTCCAATCCCTGGTGGGTGCAACAATGAATTTTCACTGGAAAATTCCCCATTCCTTCTCCTGTCTTCTTCTGATAGCTTGGTTCGCATTAGGTATCAGGGTGCCTCTTGGGCCCCTATGAAATGTGATACCCTATCCACTAATTTAGTCCTTCAGTATGAACTCTTCTACTTGGACCTCACACAAATGGATCATTCATCTCAGGCATATTTTGATTCTCTCAAGTCTTTCAGGAGTGTGGCTGATATCAGGAAGAACTTAAAACAAGTGAGTTCGATGAGGTGCCCCAAAGTATTCAGAAGCAACTCCTATGCAAATACTGGCATCCAAGGAGAATTACCATTATCAGTACCAGTAAGCCTCCTTTCTCTTACAGGTGAATGTTCTCACACATGGTCGTAAGGTGCTCATAAATGCCTTCCCTGGCAATGGAATGCTATATGTGATTGTGGTCTCCCCGAAGACCAATCTTTCAGCTGGATCAGCATATGTACCTGCTCTTACTTACTCTTGTCATCCACATCTGAATAATGCCATTGACTGTCGTGGTGTCTGTAAGTTTACATTCCATTTTATTGAATCTCAAAAAAATAGTATTAGAAGAATCTGTTGTTCTTGTCTTTAAATGTGGAAAAGGAGCACAATGTGCACAGTATGGGTAACTCTCACAGCTGTTTAAGGAGGAAAGACTGGGGGGGAAAAATAGCATTTGTTTATGTCACAGCTTCTATAGTGACAGGTTTTTCATGTCTTTCCCATAGACCTTCATCAAATCAGATCAGTCTGTCATTTCATCTTAAAGACATTGATTCCACCACTTACAGATATTTGAATATCTTTGTTTCCCTCTAGATGCTTCAATTCCCCTCCTCTCCCTCTCCATAAATTCCTTATTGCCCCTGAAAAGTGGAAGACATTCACAAGACTTATATCCTTAAGCTTCTTCCAAGTTTGAGATCCTTGAGTTAGAGTTGTTTCAATGAAGCCTTAATTGCTAGCTGTACTGTTAGCTATTCCCATTTGCCTTACTTTCCTGTTACTTTCTCTGTTTATGTCCTTTTTTTCTAATGATGTACTTAACTGAACTCTTCCTCCTTCCTGAACCTTTTTTTTTTACTATCTTTTTCAGGGACATGGTTTGGGTGGTTACTTTGTGGATGTGCCTTCTTCCTTGGTTTGTTCATGAGTTTTCAAGGTCACCGGTTCTTCCAAGTTCAGCTGTTCCTAATGGGCTTTTGCTTCTTTGGTTTTGTCTGTTTTTGCCTGTTTGGTCGCTTTGCAACCATGGAGGATTCAGGTTAGCTCCTCTTGCACTCCCTCTATTGTAAATATTTAATTACATCTTAGCCAGAGAAATATTGCTCGTGTTCTCTTGTAGCTGTTACAGCTGTTTGCATGGTTGTGGGCCTCATTGGAGGAGTCATATGGTTGGTCATATGGCGGACCATTGGAATACCCATTATATCAATTTTGGTATCTGGACTAGTCCTTGGTATCTTACTTACTGCTGTTGTCTTCTCATCTCCCCTGAGTAAGTTAAAAGGTATTTTATCTGCAGTCTGTCTACATGCTATGCATGAGCATCACTTGCTTATGAATTTTCATGCTTTTTAAATTTGTGATACAGTATTCCTGGAGGCCTTCAGATCAGATGTGAATTTCTGGTGTTTCTTTACTTGTGGGGCCATCATTGTTCCCATCATCCTTCTGTCTTTTGGCCGAACGGTACTCCCAACTTCTATTCATTTTGCCTCTTGGAATTCTTTGTATTTAACAATTTTTTTATTTCCTTAATATCAGCTTAGCATCCTTAGCACTGCAGTGGTTGGAATGTTTGGAATGTTGGTGGCCATTGACCGCTATGTTGGGGCCAATCTGACTTATGTTGTCATGAATGTGGCTCACCGGGCTGTGATCCCAGAATTCTCTGAAGCTGTAGTGATCTGGCCACTCCAGTTTCCTGGTAAGAAATAGGATGTAACTTCTGAGATATTGATTCCACTATTTTAATATATTTTAAAGCTATATATCTTTGCATTTTGATAGATGTGGGTCTCATATTCGCATGGTTCCTGGGTTCAGTCTTGGGTGTGAGCACTCAGTTTTTCTGGGAGAGGAATCGCTCCCCATATCCACCTCCTCCAGGAAGGCGGAAGCTCCCTTCAGCTCCCCCCCTGAGCTCCGTGGCAGCTGAAACTGCTCCGCTGTTGAATGATCAGCTCTTGTTCCCAGACTATCAAAGCACAAGACGCAGTGGAGTACGTCGATCCACCAGGACTCTTCCAGGGCTGGAAGCCCTTCCAGAGTCTCCGTCAAATAGTTTAATGGTTCCAGAATAACTTAACACGCGTTGTCTGTTTTGTTTTCTAGTCAGATTTTTTTTTTATCAGATCATATTTTTATTCAGATTCGTACCACTCCCTTGAAATCTATCTATCTTGTGCTCAAAAGCGGTGAAAGTAGATGGCTTTGTTAACATAAAAGGAGGAATTGATTGCTTTATTATAAAAAGAGTGATCAATACATGAATTGTATTTTGGAAATTCTTTATTTTCGTCTCGTTTCACTGAAATCACAGGCAGCCCGATGAACAACTTAAATTGGGGGAATACTGTCCAATCACGGTTTTTCATTGAAAACACTTGAGATATAGGATCACCACGCACACACAAACATGCATTCGGAACATATACACGTTGACGCAGGCAAGAGTCGAGGCTCGGCTACGGAGGATTAATTGTGGTCAGAAGAGAGTTCTTTGGTATGGAATCTTGCAAGATCTCTTGGGAATGGAATACTGAAGCCGCTAGGACTCTGATTTGCGTGACAATCAGGCGGGTTGTCATTGGAGACGAGGCCAGTAATTGGCCGCAGAAAGATCCGGGGTCTGGCTTGGAATCTGTACTGGGACTGTCACGCCTGCCGATATCACCCCTATAGAAATTAGCAGATTCAGTCAAATGCACGTTTCACGTGGATAAAATCTCGGACGTTGAACGCCCAAGATTTCCAAAATAGAATAAAAATCAATGTTTTCAGGAAAGTTAAATGTGAATAAGGATTTGTTCTAATGAAGCCATTAGTAACATATTGCTGAGTGCATCTCCTGCGAAAGTAGGGCATGATGATCGTCACAGAATAAAGATTTCTTGGCGCTATTCTGTATTCCCTTCAGACGGACTGAAACTGTCTCATGTCATCCCCTTTCGTTCTCCTAAGATGCATGAATAAAAAAAAAATCAGTTGCGGATTCTGTCATTTAAGGAAGTTCCGTGACCGTAAAAATATCAGCCCAGCGGCAAGAGATGGATTTCGCGGGTCGTCTTTCTTTCCTTATCTCATTCACATTCCCTCCCATGCGATATATCCCTCTGACGATGCAGGAATTCCCCTCTTCCCGGATTTCATGGAATAATCCTGCCAGTCATCCCTTCTGGCGCAGTCAGGCAGGTAAGCGCAGAAAAAAGAGGAATGTGATATGCTGGGGGGATCCTTCTCTCGAAATCCCATGCCATTTACTTTTTGCCTCGATTGGATTTGGATCGCAAGACCTGCTTTTAAAGATACACGCGATGGAGTCGAGGAGAAACAGTCTTACCGGCGGAGGTGGAGGAAGGATAGGAAGGTCCTGAGTTAGTTTGATGGGGTGTGGGAGTGACCCGGGATCCCGGATGGTGTCCCGGCCCCGGATACCCTCCACCCAAGGAACCCAGCGGGTCACCAAACACGTAAGGATAGGACGCTGGGTCTCCTCTCTGCTGGCCCAGGCACGACCCACCCATCCCGCTCATACTCCTGTAGAGGCAAGGAAAACAACACTTCATTCCACTTCCTTTACGCTCCGATCGTGAAGAATGTGAGGCTTGAAAATCAGGCTCTACTGGGACTTTTCCGTCCACTTCCTACATTCCCGACCAGGCAAGGATAAAAGAATCCTGCCCTTCCCCCCTCCCCCCCCCCCCCCCCCCCCCCCNNNNCCCCCCCCCCTCCCCCCCCCCCCCCCCCCCCCCCGGTGGTTCGATCCACTTCCTCTATTTCCAAATATGCTATGGCTCCTCCTCCTGCTGATATTCCATCCACCTTTATTGTGAGGACATCATCAAATGAAAAACGGAGCCTCTCCTCTCCCCCTTTCCCAGAGTAGGTGTGCAAAAAAAGGGCTAGAATCTCTTTTTCTTGTAAAGAAAAAAAAAAGCGAGACTAGACTTGTGCAAAATGTCTTGAGTATGCCTCCGAGTCTAACTCTTGACAGCTCTACCTAGTCTTCCTCTTATTTCGGGCAAAGCTCTATTTCACCGGGTCTATAGGTTTTGCTTCTCCGCCGCTTCGTCTCCTCGGCATTCTGGTTGCAGGCGGTCTACATAAGGCCGGTGGTCTACACACTTTACTGAATTTCTTGGTGGTGTGTGGCGGGATCGACAAAGTTTGTCTGGTGGTTCACGGTTCGGTACTGATATCCGTACTCGGCCCACTCATCAGACACAATCAATGTTCTTGATACAACCTCATTCGGAATGATCGGGAGATTTCCCTGGAAATAAAGCAGCTTCATCTGATAGTTCTCTGTTCAAAAATCCACCCATAATCTTCTTCAAGTTCTAAAACTTTATTGGTTCAAGTCCTTTCCCTGATGACATCTCCGTCTCTGGCACTCTGAGGTTTAAGAGATTTACCATTTCCCTGGAGTAGGTGGAATTCATCATTTTCCTGGAATATCAGGGTGGTGTGGTGTCACCAGGGAAAGGTTAAAAGAGGTCAATTCTAGTCAGGTCTCCAAAATAAATTTTGCAAATGTTATCAGAGAACCTTAGCACTTGGATTTTCTGAACGTCTTGGTGTATATATCACCAACGACCAGAATGCCCCACAGACGTCATTCTTCTGGACATTCCGTGTGCTCCTTAAGTTTCTTAGATTAGATCGTACTTTCGAGCAAACGTCATATTCAGTCTCAATTACGAGAATGTCCTAATGCTTCGTGTCGAAAGAGGGGAAAAGGAGAAGAGGAAGCACGAAGTAGTCCAAAAATAATATTGTTTTACGGGAAGCACTTGATGCCATCGGAGCACTTCCATGCGCTCACCAACCGCTTCACCGTTGAACATTCTAAGGCATTCCTTGCACTCGGGCACTTGGACAAAGCGGTGCTTGCGTCTGGCACTGCGCCTTACACTGCACGACAGGCATGAAATGATCGTCGTGCCTGATAATCGTAAATCTTCTGCCAGATCGAACCGACTCAGCCATCTACGAGCCGGGAGCCGACGCCGACCGTGTCGATATTTTGATACGTGCTAAAAGCGGAGCCACTCTCCCGACATCTGCCGCAGAAAGTCAGAACGACTTTCACGCACCGGAGCGCGCCGCGCCCGTGACCACCGCACACGCAAAAATCTCATAAAAATCCCTCGTGTTCCCGTCGCCATCACGTCCACCTGGCTTCATCACGCCCCGCCCTATCGCATTCATCATTCGACTTCTTGCAGACATCGTTCCACAGCGGCCAATTGAAAGGGGAGGAACCCACCAGGGGATGGAGCAGACGACCCATGCTCCAACTAAAGCGAGCAATTAAAACTCATTTGACTGCGTTATACTCTTTGACATACACGTTACACTATTTGACATATCTGTCGTGGTGCTATCACCGGTTATACCATTGGCTATACCAATATACCCCTGGTTATGCCATTGGGAGCCACGCCTTTATATGTATATTATACCACATGGCTGTGACTTGCATGACTTTATACCAGTGATAAAATATAAAATATTCACTGGGCCGAATGCCTTCTATCAAATTTGAGTCTATACAGAAATTTGAAGCGATGACACATCTAGCAATAAATAAATTTCTCCCTGAATGTAAGGGATCTTCCACTTTCTCGGAGATATATGTTATTGTCGCTAAAACCAGTCTCGAAAACTTCACAGCAGAATTTGAAACCTCGGGCTCTAAAATGTTTCCCACGTGTCAAACACAAGATCCCCCACGCACCTCACTCAGACGACCGAATCGCGTCGAAAAACCCATTCGAGTGCAACAAAGAAATCGTCTCGTCCCGTTATTTGCGGCGATTCGCTCGCCGGAGAATCGTGACCGTGGTTTCTTTTAAAATCGTGCAGTTGCAATATGGCCAAATCAGGTTCCGGCCGCGAACAATTCGTACAGAGCAGGTAAATTAGCAATTGGTCGTGCTATCTACGAATGAGTTCTGATTTATGAACGTCGTTAAACCCGGTGGTAATATTTAACAGCGATCCAAACTTCTTTTTTTGCAGGAGCCATGATCCGAACCCTGATGAAACAGCTCTAGCGTGCGAAGATTCTCTTTCCAAGAACGAATATGTTTAATTTAATTTAACGTAATCATTTAATCTACAGTTCATAATAAGCCGATTTCTGCTCGCGTCCGGGACTCACCCGTAGGAGTCGGCCATGGTGCCGATGGACTGGGGGAGACTGTGGTACATTCCCTGAAAAGTCGGCATGGAGTTGAAGTGGAGCGGGGGTCGGTGATGGTGCGGGGGCACGCCGGGGATGGGGGGCGGGGACCCCCCGGGGGTCGGGGTGTGGGGGGCCGGGGACGGGTTCAGCCCCGCGCCCTCGCCGCCCCCGAGGCCCACCATGCCCCCGCCTCGCCGCTGGTGCCGCAGCTTCTCCTCTCGCCGCCACTTGGCACGGCGGTTGCTGAACCAAACCTGCGGGGGATCCGTCGCAAATTTCATTTTGAGTTTGAGAAAAAAAAAAACAAATTTTGTGTTTGCTCGCAATCGACTCTAATAAGGGGCCCTCATTCCTCAAACATGGGGGTCGCAGAGTCCTTGGCCCCGTATTCCAAAGGATTCCTGGAAACTCCTCGACGCACGACCTGCCTTAGTCTATCTTAGTCCCGGAATAATACTTAATATAACAATCTGGACGTAATTGGTCTGCATTCCTGGAATCTTGGGGATTTTCTGGGCTGATGGACCCGACAGAAGGACCGAAATTAGATTCTTTCCGGCCTCGATTGAGTAACGCGCTCTCAAGTTTTGTCTCCTTTTTTTCCAGGGAGATTGGGAAATATTGTCGCCCTTTATGTCGAAAAATATTTACAAATTTATGCGGAATCACAAGAATAGATTAATTGAATGTTTTGCAATCACCCAGCGATACTGAGCAGAAAATTGATATAAGTAAAATCGAATTCCCTGGAAAAATTCGAGTAGCAAATATTTTTGCGGCAAAAGAAATCCTTTATTATTTTAATTATTAAAATATTCCATTAAGTTCGAACCTCATTCAAAGAGATAAACCACCGGTTTCCGCGGGGGAACCGGTCGGAGACTAAAAAAAAAAAAATCGTGAAGAGAGCCTTTCCGACGACGTGACTCACTTTCACCCGTGTCCCCGCCGAGCACAATTTATTTCTTACTCGACCGGAAATTTGGACTTTTGTCATGACAGACCTGGATCCGGGCCTCGGGGAGTCCGATCTTCTCGGCCAGCCTCTCCCGCGCGAACACGTCCGGGTAATGCGTCCGCTCGAACTCTGAAAATATTGTTTACCATTTTATTCTTGTACCACCGTATCAGTATATCGAGAAAAAAAAAAATAGGTACCTTTTTCCAGGGAGTCGATCTGTTCGTTGGTGAAGGAAGTGCGGTTCCGCTGGAGTTTCCGCTTGAGTCGGAGTCGGAGCTGGGAATCCTCGTCAGCCGAGGAATTGTGCTCCGAATTTCCATCCGATGTCACCTCTAATGGGGTCTCTGTTCGGAGGGGAAAAAAAAATTCCATAAAATTAGTTGAATAAATGCATAAAAAATTATCTTTAAATAAATATGTACATAATAAAAATATATATATATTGAACTAAAATTTAAAATTAAGTATCAAATTGTCATGAAGTTCTGTAACGTTGATTTTTCCTTTAATTGTTGTCTAATTTATCATTATTTTATTTTAAATATTATTCCATGTAGGGTGTCCTTTATTGACATTCACGCATGACTGTTCCTTTTCTTGCGTTCCTTTATCGATCAACTTCCTGCCAGAACCATATCCTGTAGAATATTTTCCTTCCCATATATTTTTCGACCATAAATTTTCTTTCGTTCCCCGTGACTTTCACGAAAGCGAGCATCGTTTCCAGAAAGAATGACTCATCGTTGATCGAGAATTTTTCCCTAGAAAAGCTTCCAGAACGCGTTCGCCTTCCCGGATTCGGGTCACGCGCGCCGAAAGTGAGGGATTTGAATTTCTTCCTCCTGTCAAGACGTATCCGAGCATGAGGGGACGGGGGATGGCGTGAGGGGACGGGGGGGCTGGGGGGAGGGGGGGGGGGGAAGACGGCGTGCCGGCACGCCTCCGCCTCCTTGATTGATGGATGTCCCTGGCTCATTCCATTCCATCCCATTTCCCTAGGCTCATTCCCTCATGTCCTGGCGGCCGGGTATGGCACCATTGCTGTGATGCCACCCTTAATACCATCCGCGTTTCCCTTTATAGTTTTTATTTGGAGGCATTTGGTACACGAGAAACTCGCAGCCACGAATCGACAGAGACGTCGTTTCCTTTTTATTTTTTGCAAATTGAATGTGCCAGGGCCATGCACGAAATCCGGAACTAAGTTTTATTTTTTGGACTGCTCTTCGACCCTTCGACGACCAGATGTTTCCCGCGACGAGCCATACCCTCGATCCCAGATCCCGACGTCCCAGAATTTCGAGAAACCGCACGACACTTCTCCCAAGTGCCCACAGAGCCCCTACCACCAAAAAAATGTCGGCCACCTGCAAATGTCGGCAATTGCACTGCAGACGAATTTTAACCGAAATTTTATCCGTCGAAGGCAGCAGCCTTAGGGCCGATTCGCACCGAAGGGTCGCCAGGATCGCAATGGCCCATCGATCGCAGCGGTTCATCGATCGCAATGGCTTATCGAACCCGGTGTGCATCGGCCTTTGTGTGCCCCAGATCGTCGAGAAGGGAAATCTGCCGAAAAATACACGAATTCCCCCCCAAAATTGAAAAAAAAAAAAAATCCCATCTCTTTTCGGATCGATACATGCTCATATGTATCGAGAGTCCATTAGCTTCTTTCCCCTCGGAGAATCTCCATTGATTGCTTGTCAACTTGAGGTCGACGGGGTTGCCCCGGACGGAAGGCCTCGAAGAAGGCCTCGAAGAAGGCCTCGAAGGCCTCGAAACGTTCCCGATTTCCGACATCGCGCATCGACTTACATGCATCATACGTAACGATCCATCAATCTTGTTTTCCTCATTGGGGAACAATGGGACCCTAATTGAGGCCCCGGAGATATCATCGAAGCCCAAATCGAGTTAACTGCGAAAGGGGAGAAAAAGAAAAGGGAAAAAAAAAAATCGGGTGACCAGAAATAAGAGAAACAAATTATGATCTGGGGGGGGAGAAGCCTCATCCATCAAAGCCGATAATTCCATCAACGCAATGAACACTTCATTAATGATCTCGCCCCGATTTATCATCCCTTCCAGTATTATACGAAGCAACATCACTTTTTCTTTTTTTCTGCACATCCGATCCATGGAAGCTTTTCTAGGGAAAAATTCTCGATCAACGATGAGTCATTCTTTCTGGAAACGATTTTCTTTTATGTATTTTTTTTTTTTTGGAGGGACCACCTTTCCGGGTTTTTTTTCGGATCCTTCACGTCTGTTCGACGTAATTGCGACCGACGTGTTCATGGCCGACGCGTTCACGCCCCGTCGAGTTGCGTCGCTCGTGAATCCAGGTCGGGCGGCGGTCGACCCCCCCGCCCCGCCCCATCCCCGCCCCTCCGAGGCCTCGTGTCCGACGTCACAAGGGATCCATGTCTCGAGCGGCGATGCGAAACTTTCGTGAATGTTTTTTTTTATTACTTTCTTCTGTTGCTATGCCATGGTTTTTTTCCAGATTGATAAGAATCAGAATTGCCCTGTGACTTGTGGGTGGTGACGTCCCTTGAATTCCCTACTCCAAGGCTGGTGACCCTCATTTGCGCTGAAGAAGCGTATGAGTACCTTCACCGCTCGGACAGAAAGTTTTGGAGCTGCAATAATATCGCCATAAATCTGTCTACGACTGGAGAAACAGGAAAATCTCGTTTGCAGAGACGATTCTGCATCGCGTCACACCCGTTGAAACGGCCGAGCAAGAACAGAGGCGCGAGATGCAGGACAAGGCACCGGTTTTCATGCCGCTCGGGACCTGCACTCGGCCCCCACCAGATGTCACTCTCTGTCGTATGAAGGTCGCATTCGCGTTTTCACGCTTTGCGACGAGAGAAGAGACACGAGACTGAGGCGAAGAAGCAGCGAACATCCTCAAGCGTCCTCCATCACCCCCCCGTCCTCCATCGCCTCCACGTCCTCCATCGCCTCCACCGGCACCAGCTACTGAGCATCGCGTGCTTCGAGAGCCAGTCGAGATCGCGAGAGGACGACCACTTCCTCCCCCAGGGACAGATCGGGACGCAAAGAAATTCAATGACGTGATCTGCTGATGCGCGCTGGAGGCTCCCACGACCGAATTCATCGAGTCGAAACTGCTGAAGGCTTTCGGGACGGAGATCTGCTTCCACCGAATCTCGCCACGATTACATGGCGCGTAACGTAAAAACGCGGCAACCGGTCGAATTGCTGCTGCGGAAGCGAACGATTCCCGGATTCGAGATCCTGGGCCAGCTAGCCTCGGTTAGGTCAGGCGCGAAAGTCTCACTCTGCTGTTCACCACGCTTCCCAAGTCTGACCTCACCGAGGCAGTGCAATCGATCCCCCGTGAAGAAATCCGGCCGAACGAGCCCGCCCACCACCAACCTTGATCACTCTTTGGCAGCTTCATCGTCTGCAAGCACTTTTTCCCCTTCGCCATGAGTTTACCATCAGAAATGTTATAGCCGAGATGGTCTCCCGACCGAATAAAATGCAGAAAAGCTTGCTTCTGCGTGGGGACTCGGCCTTGTCTCTCGGTATGGAAGTCGCAGTGTCCCCACAACCTCCCCCACAACCCCCCCCACAATCACCCCCACAACCCCACCCACAATCACCTCCACAACCCCACCCACAATCACCCCCACAACCCCACCGATCACTTCTGCCACATTCCCATCCCCTGGGCATGCCGAAGTTCAACGCAATTGCGGTAAGACTCGGACTCGAAATGCTTCGAGAATTTTATTTTTTATTTTTTGCATTCTTAGTTGCAGTTGGACCGAAGGAAAGCTGAAAATCCTCATTTAAACGCAATGTCAATACAGACGCACCGAGCGGCCAGACCCGACCTTTCGCATGGGATTCCCCCCCAGCCCACCAAACAATTAATACTTTATTAACAGACTCTCCCGCGGAACATGCTTTACTTTCTGCCCCTCTGCGCCGGCGATGGCCTGATTTGGCCGCCGTTGCGTCCTTGGCTCTGTCTGTCCGATTACGTGGCTCAAATGCATGCTTTGGTTGCTTCGCGTTAACATGCATCGTTTTTTTTTTTATGTACCAAAAGCATTTTGGACGGTCATATTTTTCCACGTGGTTAAAGAGAAAAATAATGACAAAATTATACTTTCATTTTTTTTTTTCCCACTGTTCTGTAATACAATGTAATGCAATGCAAAGCAGAGCGCGCCTATCTGGCACACGTGCAGTGTATGGTTAAAACAAAACAGAAAATCCAGGAGAAGAATCCCTGTCGACGATGACCTAAGTCTTTCGAGTTCTGTGAATTCACAGATCCTCTTCACAGGTATAAATCGGTACACCCTGCATAGAATTCCGTTCTAACGGTCACATGCGAAAAGGGCCGAATGCAACTCGAAACGGAATCGGAATGCAAATTCACCCCGAATTCGGCTCGTCTCCCGAATCCCACCACGAAGAAGCGACCGAACGAACCTCGTTTGATGTCATCGCGTCCGTTGAGGACGTGCTGCGACTGGGCGTGTGCGACGGAGACGGCAGCGGCGGCGAGCCCCGGCGGGGTGGCCAGGGCGGAGAGGTGCGGGGCCGGGGGGGTGGTCCCGCCGGGCATCCCGGCGTGGCCGTACCAGGCCCAGCCCTGGCCGTTTAGCATGCGGAGCTTGTCGTAGACGGATTCCGGGCCGCCGCCTTGCTCCTTCTGGGCTGCGAGGTTTCGCAGGACTCGGTTGATCGAGGAGACCTGGAGGGGGGAAACGGGGACGGGCGTCGTTAGCGTTCGCTTTCGACGTTCATCTGCGTCTTACCAGGAATTTTTGAGCGCTTTTTTTTTGTCGCTTTATCGTCTCGGGGAGACGGAAAAATGTTATTTTTGAGATCGAGAGTCCATTCCCGACGATAAGGCTTGTTTTCCAAGCAGATTGAGCTCCCCGTTCGATAATAATTGGAGTATTAGTCAAACTTTCCTGGTCGAATCATTCCGACTCGGCCGATCAAAATAAACACTCGTTGAACTTTCATTTCGTCGAACATCATTCTCAACATCGGTTGGAGTCATCCACCGCCGCAAATTAACGCAACGCCGACCTCCATCATCCGAGCTAACCTATCTATCCACTTTAATTGAAGTGGACACAGAAAAAAAAAAAAAAGAGTAAACGTTTGCCCCGCGAGGATCCCCGCTGTATGGGGGATTGATCGATCCCTGGGACTGCTCGACCGCATCCCCCTCCCCTCCACTCCGCGCCTCCTCCGCAACATCCCCCCGCGAGCTGGATGGAGGGATCAGGGGAGTGGATTCTGGGGGATGGAGGTTTCCCTCAGGAGAAAAAAAAAGGAGGTTATGAGAAGGAGGTTTCCCTCAGGAGAGAAAAGGAGGTTTCCACTCCGGGCCTCCATTACTCGATCAAACAAGGGATGCATTGGAATTTTTGTTTGAGGATTCTTCCCTCTTTTCCTCCTGAGTTCGCCTCATTTCCCGGTCAAGAACTCTCTTCCT